TTAAATCATGAAGCTATCCCCTCTGCCTAAAAAAATTATTTTCTTTGATTTAAGTTGCATATGGCAACTTTTCAGTTAGCCCACGGTGGCTTTTTTTTTTCAATAAGGCTTTTATTTTTTCCATTTATAAAGATCTGACATGACTGTAGAAATAGCTAGCTGAATAAGTTGGAGTCAACAAGAAGGTCAGAGGACTTTAACATAATTTTTAAAAAGTAGTCAGTTAAGCAAGAAGTAGAAAAAAAAAATGGAAAATTTTAAAATAAACAATAGCATAATTATAAAATAATTAGGGAGGGGTAGACAGGAACCACAAGAGACATACTGATTTAGAGCAGTGGATTTCAGCCTGTAGCCTGCAGACCTTTCTGGCCTAGGAGCTACTTCTCAGGGGTCCATGAAAGGAAATGAGGAAAAACATGCACTTGTAAGCTTGAAAAAATGGGAGACGGCTGGACTGGAGAGAGCATATGTGAAAGAGGAAAAATGGCTGTTGCATGCCTTGGGAGAGCCAAGTGTTGTGTGCTGCTGAAACAGGCCAGCCAGCAATATGCTCATTCTTCAGCACTGGTAAGCCTAAAGCTCAGCCATGGTGCTGGCTGCAAGGGCTTTGTAACGTGGGTATCAGGCTGTGCAAATGAAGCCATGCTGCCTGGGTATCTGAGGTGCTGTATCCATGTAGTGCTGTGTCTTACTGAGACATCTTCCTGGCTATATTTGAGAATAGTCTAGGGGTGTCTGCTTTCTGCTTTGTTGCATGGTACAAATATGAGGGGTTACCAATTTAATGGCATACACTTGAAAAAGTTGCAACTAATATAATCTATATGGATGCACTGAGAGGGGACATTCAGGGTAGTGAGATTCGTCCTGCTTCAGGGTTTCAAAACCAACAAGCTTGTTTTATAGTGAATACCGCTTTTGGGGCAAGTTACACGAGATGTGCCAGAAGATGTACCCCTCCCCTCCTTGAGTTAGCCCCCCCTTGAACTTTGTACTTCTCTTCCATAATAGAAGAAATCTCTACAAGCAGCTGCTTTTGACAAATGTAACGTAACTCATGATGACATCTTCTCTTGTTGCTGTCAGACAGTCTTCTGTGAAGCTGAGTTTTGGCTTTATAGGGAATTGAATAGCTTCCTATTAAGAAGGGAACGAAGGAATCTCACAGGATGTGACGGGTGACAGAACTACAGGCTAGGTTTTGTGTATAATCAGGCTTTCATCTGTGTCCTCATCTGAATTGGAAAAAACAATTTGCAAAGAGTTTCTAAGGTAAGTTCTGAAATGATGTGTTCTTTTGATGATCAGAAATGAATTGTTACTTTAAATGTCTGTGGAACAAGTCCCTAGTGGCATTTTAAAGCAATTTTGCATGACAGAGCCTGCTTCTTAATGTGTTTCATAAGACTTAAAGCAAGATTTAGAGCAAGCCAACTGAGTTGCAACTGCCACATAGGAGCATAGGTTTTCATTTTTTAAACGTCTTGTTGCATGTGAGCGTTCAGATTGCGAATGCTCCAGTGTCCTCTAAAAATAAACTCAGTAGGAATAAAAGGTCCCTTGACAAAATTGTTACAATATGCTGAGCAGCAAATTCTCTCTGAAAGGTCAGGGATCCCTAAGTTGCCATGTCTGCGAAGAAGAGGTTGGTTCCTTTCTAAAACAACAGCCAGTGTAGAAACTCTTGGAAGAGGCAAGTCTGCAGAAAAGCAGAGCTGTACGGCAGGAGACGCTGGCAGAGGCTGACCACGAGATGAGGCTGTGCAGGATGAAATGGTGCTGTAGCCACTGCTGGTCAGGATTGGGTTTGTACACGGAGCTCCGTAGGGCACATTGCTCTGAGTCTTCCTCAGACTTCAACTACGAATCAGTCAATCAGAGCATAAAATTCCCTCAGAAGACAAACGGAAAGCAAAAAAGAATGAGGAGAAATGATAAAAGGCACATGATAGGCAAGAAGTTCTGTGTACCCTTGTTTTGCCAGACCATGTGGAATAAATGGTAGTTGGGATCTGTAGCTCAAGGCAATGTAAATATAGTACCCCTTCATGCTGGGTTCTCCTTTTCATCCCTCTGTAGGCAGTCTTGTCTAAAATTAACCTATTCATCCCATTTCTGGATGGTTTCAATTTAAGAATTGCTGAGTTCGTGGGTGAAATTGAAGGCAAAGTTGGGTGTGGGAGACAAAGGTATTTTCCAGGTTTGTGTCAGAGCACTGTATTTATAGATAAATCCTGAATTCTTCACACTGCATATCAGACAAAATACCAACTGCAGAATGAAAGACACTCAGTAAAAATTCATTGTCATTGAGCAGTTTATTCAAAATAATGCTGTGTTTGTTGTGGAAATGAGTGTTCAGTACATTGCAATACCATTTAACAAGCTCACTTTAAATATGTATCATTATGGTTTTCCTTTTCAAGAATTCATAAAACTTGTTTGGAGAATTGGTGCAAGCCTATGTTCTGTTTGTTTCCTTCAAAGACATTTTATCTGGATTCTGGACTGTTGTGGACTGACTTTTTATATTTGAGGTTGACCAAAGTATGGGAGAAGCAATGGTTGGATTTTTTATTTATTTATTTTTTAATCTTAATAGTGGTTATTTAAAGCATTTTTACTCCATTGCAACTTAACTGAAATGAGAAAAGATACCCAGTAAGGTTAATTCTGAGTGAGAACATGATCAGGTCTTACTTCCTTCAACCTTGTTTTTTTTATGGCTATATCTGTTTTGATGCTGAGTGAATATAGTGTACTATAGAAAGCAACAATTCCTTCCCCTAAGATTTTTAGGATATCTGGAGCTTTGAAAAGTATTTTTCTAATATAGAAGAAAGTTTTCTATAAGGACGTGGAAAACAGTATAACTTACTGTTTTTCTTTATATACATACAAAGAAAACAAAACGGAAGAAAACCCTCATCTTTTGTTTTTTCTCTACTACCCTTTTTCCAAATGCATTTTGTTTTCTTCCAAGCAGAAATATGTATGCTTGCTTTAAGAGATGAGATTGCTGAAAATAGCAACTTAAATGGTGTGTGTGATGTTTAGCAGCTACCACTGCTGGAATCTCTGGAAACCAGACTAGTGGTATAGAAGACTAAACGCATCTAGCTCTGCAAATGCTTGTGAGACATGGTGTTTATATATGACTTTCCCGTAAACCCTATATTGAGATTCTGTTGTAGCCTTCGTTGGGGATTACAGTATATTTAATCCACAATAGAAATTTCATTTTCCAGTTCTCACCATGTCTAAATTCCCATATTACAGGTATTTTGGCATTAGCACAAGTAAACCTAGCACTTAATAAATGAGTGTTTATAACTCTATTTTAATGTTTATGAATATGAATAATTTTGCTTTTAGTTTACTTGTACTCTTTGCATGTGCAAATAATGCACAAGGAGGGAGTTTGCCGGTGATTTAAAATAATACTAAGTTCCCCCTTCAAAGTAAAAGCATTATGGAAATAAGAATCTGGGTGTCTAAACACTCGACAGAAGAGATTATATTTTATATTGGTAAATCCACTTCTTTTTCATATTTTTCTGTACCTATAAAGAGAATACGTACTCAGGATCCATGCAGACAATATTTGAAGTTATGGTTGCTCAATGATACTCAAATAAACAAAATTATTTATTTTGTAGTTCACTTTTCCATAGTGAATTCACATACTGTATCATGCATAAATTACTTGTCTTCAACTCTCTAGCTACAGTAATTTCTCAATAAAAATGAACTAATGGTAAGCTACAAAGAACTTTTGAACGTGCTATTGAGATACTTTTTGGCTATTTCATATTAGAAACGAAAATCTTAGCTAACTGTTTTTCAAGAGAAAACCATTCTTCTAGGTAGGTGAACTGCCACTTCCAGCCAGCATATTTGTAGATGTAGGGTCAGACTGAATAAGTGTTTGAAATGTTTTGTTCTTAGTTTAGGTGGGAGCTAAAGCAAAATAGAATTTAAGAACAGTCTGTGAGGGTCTTCTTTGCTCAAAGGTGAAGAGCTGGTGTGTGCACATACATACCGTCACTGCCCTATTTTTGCAGGAATTCTTTAAACAACAAAAAAGGGGGGAAGGAGAGAAGCATTAGAAAGGAAGGTAAACATTTATTATGTCCGTTAATTTTAAGAAAGAAGAAAAACTTTCTTCAGAGCTATTTAGAAGCTTCTTAAGAAAACTAAAATTGACAGGCTCTGAATTTATACTTACAATATCAGAAAAAACAGTGAAAGATCAGGGTCACAGTTTTTCCATGGTGATTTTATTTTATTTATTTTTTTTTTTTTTTGCATTACAGTAGGGTTTTTTGGTGGTGGTATGTTTGTTTTGGTGTTTTGTTTTGTGGTATTTTTGAGGGGGGAAGAAGAGGGAGTCTTCATTTTTACCTGATCTGCCTTCATTCTCTTTTCTTACTGCCCTGTGGTCCAGAAAGCATTCAGTGTTGTATACTTCCTTTTCTCCATGTGTTTTGCTTGCCCTGGTCTTGTTCTGTACCACTGTATTGAAAGCCTAGGTAAAAAAATCAATTTTCAATTCAATATTTTAATGAGTATTAGTACAGTATTTTTTCAGTATTAAAGTATATTCCTGTGTTAGTAGGATATAACATCTCCACAGAAGTATGCTTATTTATCTCATTGCAAATGTTGACTTGCAGTGGCTTTTCTTAAATAATAATGCCATTGTCCCGTAGAAAGCAAATGACGGAAGCTGTTTATAGCAATATCTAGTTCTTGCTTATAGTTTGTTGGCTTTTTTCAGTAAAAGACAGTACATGTATTGTTTGTCACAGAAATCCATGTTTAGGAAGAGCAAAAAGAGGAGGAAAATAGTGTTGCATGCAGTCTACAGTTTTATGTTAGTCTTTGGAGGAAAATAATAATATTACATCATCTACAGTTTGTGTTAATCTCTATTGTTATCACACTAGCTATTTACGTATTCTGTCTTATGCTGATAATGATGCTTCTTGTTACAGGAAGACACAACAGAAACCACAAGCACCCGCCGTCACTTATGCTACGTATCGAGGTTCTGCAAGGATAAGGCAACTAATGAAGAGTCAATCAGAAACAGCTGAAAACAGAGAAGAGAGTACTGAGAACGGAAATGCTTTAATGGTCAAAGAAAATGGAGAAATCCAAACAACTGTCTCTCCAAAATCAGGACACTTAATGAAAGAAAATGGAGAAGATGAGGATAAAGATCATAAAGATGATGTCATTGTAGATTCTTCTAACATTAAAATTGACTTGAAAAAGTCTGGTAAAACTCAGTGTTGCTTGCGTAGCAACAGACATGAAGTAACTCCAGATGCCTCAGATTCACCTACTGAACCGTCTGATGAAGTAGACTTAAAACATACACCAGCTTTAGAAGCAACAAAAGTTAAGAGGGCTTATTCACTAGATTCATTATTGTCATCTAGTAAAGACAGTGAGATCCTAACAAATTCCACTTCTCAAATTACCAGTTCCCTTAAAATGGGTTCTGTGGACAAGTTCATTGGAAAAGAAGATGAACTGCTGGGAGAAGCAGAAGCTCTGTTTCAGATGGACAAAAATGTCACGTCTAATTGTGATAAAGAAATTAATTGTAGTAAAGAATCTGATAAGGAGTCCACAAAAAAAATACAAGATGATTGTTTACAGTCACCCAAATCAAATAAGACAGTTAATGAAGAACTACAAGCAAGCAAGGGAGAATATTGCTGTAATCATCAAATGAATAACCACTCAGAGCTAACATCAGATGTCCAGGAGCTTCATTCCAGTTCCACTACATTTCAGCAGCCAGCAGATCAGCATACAGATAGTGCAAATAAAGATAATGATTCAAGAAAAAGCAATCCACAGAAAATTATGGCAGCTGCAGAAAGAGAACAAAATCCCCAGAGCTTTCTTGCTACTATTCCTTTACCTTTTCATGAACAAATACCCACTTCACTTAGCATGGAGTCCAGAGGAGAAGCGCGCATAGTCACAGGTAATCTGACTGCTTCAGTGTTAACTATTAAAAGTGATGAAGATATAGTCATGGACCAGGGGACTAGTAATGAAGAACTGAAAAAGTTAGGAAAACCAATGCAGGTACTAAATGAACGCCAATTAATCCTTGCGGAGAATTCTGAGGATACTGCCACACAACGGCCTGCTTTACCTTGCCTAGAAAAAATGAAGGTTTCATCTGAGATTGTAGTAGAAAATTTTGCTGATGTATTGCCATGCATACATGGGTGTGAAAATGGGAAATCTACCTTTGATGAGATGACAGCACCTCTCTCTGTTACTTTAGAGTCTTCTTCTGAAACTGAAGACTGTTCCTCAGCTCCTCTTCATCCTAGTTGTAAGTCTGAAAATAAAACTATTGTGAAACGAGGAGTTGGTTTAAACGATGTGAGAGACACTGTTTCTCATTCTGATCACGAATGTGAAAATAGCAAATCCTTTGAGCCTGTAGATACGAGCCTCTCAGAAAATTCAGCTCCTGTGCATGACCTCGGTACTGTTTCCCTTAAAACTGTGCAAGACATTCCTGCAAAAGCATTTTTTAGACTTGCAGAAGACAACACAGGAAAGCCTGCACCTTGCCCTTTAGTCAACACTGACAGGACAGACAATCCTATTCCTGCTGCTTCTAAAATCGATGAGGCTGGTATGAATGAGATGACTGTTGTTCCTTCTGAATCTAAGGGTTACATTTCTGAATTTTCCTCTCCTATTTGTAAATCACAAGAAAAACATCTGGAGGATTCTCATTCTGCCTTGAGAAGTGGAGGAAGACCTCTGACCAACCACTCCCCTGTCATCGCTGAAAAAGATGTTGATGTAGACATCATTTCTGCATCTTCACCTAGTCCTGAAGATAGGCATATTAGTAATTCTTCCAGGAATGAAAACAGTGATAAGCATAGGATATCATCCACAACTTTTTATTCTTCATCTGACAACCAAGGAGAAATCCATTCTCCTTCCACTAATTCTGAAAATGGCCAGATTGCTAGATGCTCTGCTGCTGCTGAACAGGAGGGCTGTGTTCTTCTGGGTGCCAAATCTAGAAGAATAATCCCTGAGGACAGAATGACCGAGACACCACTTTGCTCAGAAGACCCAAGGGCTTCATGCCCAGTTGTTTCTCTGGAACCTGAGTTTACCCCAGCTGTGCTCCACCATTTTGATGCTGAAGTAGATACATGGGATTTTTGCATCCCCAAGCCCGCTTCACCTACTCGGGGATCCAAAGAAGCCTCAAACCTTTCTATTTCTGCCTCGGAAACATTGGGCATTGCTCAGGAGAACAGTAATTCCTCTCTTCTCAAAGCTGGTGATGGAGCAGAGGAAGTATCCTCTGCACAGCAGGCTGACAGCTGCGTCTTGGTAGAGACAGTGCCATCAGCCATATGTCCTTTGAAAACTTTGGAAACGGCATCTGATTCAGTGCATACTGAGAAGGTGTGCAGAAACGCTGTGGAAAAGGTGAATCTTTGTAACCAGGCTTCTAGTATCTCAGAATCCCTTTCTGAAACAGATGACCAAACAGCTGCTGCACCTAGAGAGTCAAATGAGCTCTGTTTTGAGAAAGTATGGAAAGATACTTACGGGGAGGGAGGACAATACACTAAATTCCAAGATGCTGCTCTTTTGTTTAAGAAAGCTGAGGAAATAGTGGACTCAGTTTTACACTTGGCTATAGAGGAAATAATAGCAAAACAAGCTGTTGGTGTCTGCCACGTTTGTGGGAGCAAGGATAGTTTAATAAATACAGATATTCTGAATGATCAGAAAACTGGAACCATGCAGCTGGAAGAAGAAGAAATCCAGTCAGCTCTGCATTCATTGAAACATTTCAACAAGAGAGGCTCCTATTCACTAATGGGAAATGAAACATACGATACAAATAATCAAGATGAAAAGACACCGTCTTACATCCCTGATAAAATTGACCTACATAGTGCACTAACATTAAAAGCAAAAGAAATAATTGATGAAGTTATTAACTCAGCCAAACAAAAGCTAATATCCAGTCAGGGGCAATGCAGTGATAGTAAAAGGCATTCTGAAAAGGTTAAGCCTAAAACTGAGGCTGAAACTCCAAAGATTTTAAACCTGGATAGTAATTTATCTGCCAGAACACAGGACATAATCAAAGAACCAACAGCTACGGGGGAAACTCAGAATGTAAGTACAAACAGTGAAAAGGCAGATTGCTCAGATCTTCCCGTGGTTCCAAATAGTATGGAAAATAGCGCAGATTGGCCCCAAAGAGGTGAAAAGATACTGAATAATGCATTCACATGTCAAACAAATGGATTTCTACCTACTGGTAGTTCAGCACAGCCAGAATCAGCCCCAATGATACTAGCAAAAGAGGAACATGATGAAAAGGTGTATGAACATCTGGCTGCAGCAGAGATGTGTCGTAACGCTAGGTTATCAGCTACGAGTAGAAAATCTGATGTGTCTTTACATTTAATGACTAGAGATGCTGCTGTGACTGAGATGCTTCTGCCATTGCAGTTAAAAGATTCATGCAGTAATACAGATGTGCCAGAGTATGCAGTGCAGCCAACTGTAGATATTAATTTGTTATCTTTTATGCCTGATGAAGCAAGTAGCAGCATGCAGAGTGAATCCAAAAACAAAAGAAGTCCTCAGGGTTCTCTGGAAAGTAGTGCAGAGGACAATACAGATGAACACAGCGGAAGAGAGGCTGCAGGAGTATTTGCACAAGTAAAAGCAACCTTAGAAGATTCAAAGGTAGTGGAGAATAAAGAGGAACAAGCAGAAGGAGCAAGTGAGACAACACTGTTTAATATTGGATTACAGACACAGTTTGTTGCATCTGAACTGCCTGTTACTGGAGAGCACAGTGAAGGGAAACACTGCTTCAAGACAGTCTTTGCCCAAAACAATGAGAATCTGAAAGAGGTACAAGTGAAGGATCAAGATATGCAGAGAAATGATCAGCTTGAAGAAAATGGTCTGGACTGCAGCAAAGACATGAAGGAATTGGTGGGTCTTTCAGGCTCTTCTCCACTAATTGAGCAGTGGGAAAACAGTTCTTTTACTATCATTTATGAAGGTGCCCTTCAAACTGAGAACAAGTCTGTCTCAACTGAAGATTTGGAAACTAGCTCTCTTTCTTCTGATCTGCCTTTGGATAGTACAGATCATCTAGCATGTGAAAGAGCAAAGAATAAACATGAGCCAGCCTATCTTTATGGAAAGGAGAACAAGTTGAAAGAAGCAACAGAGAGCTGTAGCTCAGAGTCATTTCTGAGCGTAGAGGCTAAGCGCTATAGAATATACCCTTTCTCTTTGTCTCCCATATATGAAGATGACAGCCCCCAAGAAGACCTGCTGTCCACAGACATGTCACCAGAAGGCCATCCTAGTGGAATGTCTAAAGACAACACTGACCACGCTTCTGTGCTATCCCTTCTCCAGTCAGTTTCTGAGCGCTTACAGTTTACCTCTCAGTTCAGTAAAGAGGAGGAGGAGGGAATGGAGGATGAGGATGAGGAACAATCATCATATGAAGGAAATGTACTTGATGTTGAGAGAGAAGAGCAAAGTTTTTCCAGTGAGTGGACAGGGAATTTAAAAACAACCCTTCAGTCAAATGACCAAAATATATATCCATTTCTTGAACGATCACCATTTCTTTCAAAAGAACAACTTGACTCTAAGGAGCAACCAGAACTGGTTGAAGAAGAGGCTTCTCCTAGACAAACATATTGTAAGCCAGTTTTACAGAAAGCTGATGCTGCTCTAAAGCATGCTCCTACAAGTGTGTATTACCAGTATTTGAAATCTGCCACCAATTACTACTCTGAGAAGGGAACCAGATTTGGAAGCATTCTTCAGGATATGTTGCAGCCAAAGATTCACTGGTCCCAAGATCACACCATGCCAAAACTGGGAGAATTGTCAGCGGTAAGATGTCGTGTCAGATATTAATAAACAAAGTGATTAGGCCAGATTCAAAATTTATGTCTTGCTTCTTCCTCCTTCAGCCCCTCATTTTTTAAGGTTAATTAGGCTGTTTAAGATCAGAGACTCAAAAAAAAAAAAAAAAAGTCTTCTGATAGAATCATTGAAAAAACATGGTATTCTTGGTTCACACAGATCAAAGTAGCCTCTAATTGTAAAAGACAAGGTGTGAACAGAAAATATAACGGGAAAATATGCATAATGGCAAGTTTGTGTAATAACAGAACAGACTTGACCATGTTAAGGATATTTCAATCTGAAAATCACAGAACTGCCCTTTTTATGAATGCTGTTATTTCATTTCTTCCACATTTTGTGATTAGTAGAGCTGTGTTTTCAAAAAATATAATTACCTGCTTACTGGGTTGTTAGATTCTTTCATCACATGGTCTTCTGTAAATTGTAGCTCAGTTAACGAGTAATATACCTGCTTCTGTAGGTTGGCATTTGTTTTTTAGTTTATTTAAAGCAATGGCAGGTGAGGGTATGGAAACATTTCTTCTGATATTAAGAAATCAAAAAGGCTGCGTAGACCAAACGTGCAACTGAAGAAGCATGTCTTTTCATGCTTCTGGGAATGTTTCATTCTTTGATGGAGGTTTGGTTTGTTTTTACCACTGTGAAAACATACAACTTTCTGCTTGCTGGGAAAGAGTAGTACATTTCCATAAGTGAAAATTCTGTAATAGTTCTTCCTCTCTAGCATTTGCTGCTTTCTGCTGACTGTTTGATTCTGTTAAGCTAGTTACACCAACTCTGAATAACAGTGAGAAAAATCGTAGATGTTTCTGCTAATCACACTTATATACATTTGTTGGAACAGTGGGCCTAGAATAAGCTTTCCATGCATTGTGCCACTGTTGTGGATATTAATAGTTTTTTTCCATGTCCTTTTAATTTCAGAACCTAATTGACAGAGCAGGTCTCAAATACAATCCAAGACCAGGAAAGGTAAGCAGAATTTGTGCATCACACAGATCAATATGACTCATGGAATAATTTATTATACCATTTTATTTAATGGAAAGCATCTGATGTTAGCTTTCTGTATTTTAATGTAACATATGCTTACATTTGCTTATAATGAGATTGTATTACAAAACTCCTGTCACTAGTAATCTTACTGTATTTCCTTGTCCTCCATACAGTGCTTCATATAACAAGAAAATGTGTAGGATATCAGTTTAGTGGGCGCAAAATGAAGTAGGTTTTATTCCAAGCAAAAATTAACTGTGCTGTATATTGAAATGGGCCTTCATTCGTATGTGTTGTCTTGTTTCAGATTATTATTTATGACATTCATGGTGACAAAAGTAAACAAGAAGTTCATTCTGATGTGCTGGATACCACATCCTGGATCTTTCCCATTGGAGCATTACTTAGGATAATTAGAGGATGGTAAGGAATCCAGGTCATATTTAAACAGAATCTTTTCAAAAGACTGTATGTGTGTTTTTCCTTGTGTTTACATTTCTTTAATTTATGACACATATCTGATCTGCAAGACTGTCTTTTTCTTTCTTGTATAATTAGACTGATACCAATGAAAAAAGCATAAAACATGGCTTCAAATGCTGCAGTGCAAAAATAATGTTTCTCCTGGGAATTAACTTCAAACAGAAAGTTCCTAATAGAACAGCATGTAAGTTTAGACTTCTTGCCTGCAGTGCTGAGACAGTAAAGCAATAATCATCACAAGAAGTATGTGTGTGCCAAAGAAAATGTTTTTATTTTGTTTGTTTGTTTTATTGGCTTTTTTTCCAATTCAATTTTATTATACAACAGGTGTTACAAAAACAACATAAAGCATGCAATCTCCACTGCAGTTTGTAAGGTAGCATTTAGAGGATTATGTATGCAGGAGGATATACAAGTACCTTTAAGTGTTTCTCAATCCACTTGTAAAGGTATAGCTCAAAATGAAGTAATAGGTTTGCCTTGGCAACCTGGGGCTGTTACCATGTCAGCTGTTGCATTGGAATTTACTTGGTGGCGTTTACAGTGTGTGTTTCTGATTCTTGGCCATAGTAACAATGTATGTAACAGGCAGACTTGAGGCATACATTTTTTGTTTTGTATGCATTTCTTTCACATCCTAAGGAAACATTGAATGTCATCATTAGTATGTGTATGTTTTATGCCTAACTTAGTATGTACTTAAACAGAGCATGTTTTGATAGGTCAGTTAGTATGTTTGTTCTAGTAAAATGTCTTTTTATTTGCATAGTTACTGAGTTATATTTTTATAAATTTAATATTTTAAGTTATGTTACTCTACCTCCTGGGGAAAAGAAATGTATACGTTATTTTTAAAGCACAAGTCAGATATGTATCACATTCATATGTGAATAATGAAAGAGTATGTAAGAAATTGGTGATAACTAGCATGATCAGAAGAGATTATTGCTAAGCTTTTCAGCAAATCTGCTGTATGAGCATAGTCTTACGTAATAGCAACAACTCAGTCCATGATTTCGTTATTACAGTTGGATTTTCTATGAGAAACCAAAGTTCCAGGGTCGGAAACATGTACTAGAAGAAGGAGAGACTATACTGGATCACCTTTGGGATCTTCCAGGTGTAAAACACCGTCGAAGAAACCTCACAGTGGGTTCAATCAAACATGTAACAAAGGTATAGACATTGTTAATGATATTATCACATATATGGTAAATTTCTGTTGGCAACAGTGGCGTATCACTAACAATGAACAATGTGTGTATGCTGTGTTTAGTTCCAATTTGTTGTGAATCAAGTTCTTACCTTCAAGATAAAAGTGACTGTTTACTCTTTGCTATTAGTTTTTGTGCTAAATTTCCTTTTCTTCCTGAAGATAACAAGCAAACATAGCTTATCTTTCTTTGCCACCACCTTTATCTGATACAGTGATGGTTAGATGTTTACCAATCCAGTTAATTGAAATTAAATGGAATTAGTTCATATTTTATTAAGAAATGCTTATATTAAGCTTAAAATACCTACTGTATTATTATGGTTTCTATTTTGGGTGTTAGTAGCTGGGATTACAGAATCACACAGAACTGTAGGGGTTGGAAGGGACCTCAAGAGATCATTGGGTCCAACCCCCCTGACAAAGGAGGTTCACTAGAGCAGGTTACCCAGGTAGGCGTCCAGACAGGAAACAATCATGTAACAATCCCAGACATTACAATCCCACTTGTACAGCATAGCCTTCAAAATTTACTGTTGCTGCTTCCACAGCTTTGTGTCAACTCCTGGGGTTCCACGTGGCCCAGTGGTACACCTACAGTATCTGGCTCTACATACAGCCAGAAGTTTAAAAGGCATTTTGTTTAAAAGATAGGAATCAAATGCCTAAAACTAAATATAATGTGTCCATTATTACTTAGTGAATGAGGAATATATTTACCAGATCTTGTGATTTAAGAATTAGTGCTCTTTGTGTTTAGCATAACATTCCCGTTATTCACAGTGCAACGGCCCTTTATTGTGAGTGAATTATCATTTGTATCACAATGTGAAAGTGTTTCAGAAAAAGTGCTGGATTTTTGTACTCTACTGGTATACAAGTCATTTTAAAACTGATGACCTTTTTGTAATCAGTACAGAGATATAATGTCATCACAGCAGTTAGAAATACTTTTTCATTTTCTTAAAGACTTCAAAATAAATAAATTCAGAAGAGGCTAGTTGAGGGCATGAACAGTTCTTCTAATTTATTTAGCTCAAATAAATGCTAAAAACATTTGACCAATATGGGATATTGATAATATGGAAAATGGATAAATAATTAAAGAAATCCAGTAATAACATGCAGAACTATGGTCTGAAGCTCAGGGAAGCTCAGTGTATTTTGTGTATCTAAGAAAACCCTTGGACACAAAAGACACTGTTGTTAGTTCCATCATGCTTGATAAAAAATGTTTGTAATAGAAATAAGTAAATTTAATATTGTTCTTCTTCCCATATGTGGTTCATTTGTATGGAACACAGTGTAATGGGTCTGGCTGGGATGTTAACTTTCCTTGCAGCAGCCCATACACAGTAAAACCACCACACAGATGGAAAGCCTTCCTTACAGTAATCCCCTATTTTAATAATCAACACTATTTCTCATGTAACTTAAATCTCCAGTAAATATGGGTGGACTTTTGCAATTAGTCCCTAGTGTTGTGTGCAGCTAGTGGGGGTATAGAACTTGCTAAGCAGGGTTTTGTCCTCTACATCTTGATTTGTGAAATTTCCTTTTTTAAGTTTTGTGTCAGCTGCTGTGAAACTAATTTTAGAAGGTAGTTTACCACAGTTCAGCCTTTTTAATTTACTTTTTTTTTGGTGAAAATATAGGCTTTTTTTTTAATTGACAAATAGGTATTTCTCTTCTAGGCAGCTTGTGTGTATGATCAGCAGTATGTTTTACTGCCATTCTCTCTTTCATAGCCTGAGAAGCCCAGTGGCTTGTCTACTGCCTAGTTTGGTCATACTGGCTGTGTGTCCAGTTTATCTGGCTTGTTGACTGATTCTTCTAGTGGCTTTTGGTGGTGGTTGTCTAGGGGCTGTTCAGATGCCTTGAATTAGCAGATACAAACATTGGCTAAGTATTTGGAAAGAAAATGGCTTACAAAGAAGAGAAAAACAGATGTTTACTAAAGAAGCTCTAGGAGGTGTGTTTAATATTTTTATTTTTTACTGGCAGATGTTAGTGTGCTCAGAAACAATCTGACAGTAGCTTCTTGCTCTGATTTGGCTTCAAGCATCCAGAAGAAAACAGATTCTGTTAACTTTGTAGCTAACCTGTGGCTCTACTCACTGTGGATATGGATTTGATGAATTCATGTGTATTTAACTGAAGCAACTTGGCTGGGGAGGGGAGAAGGAGAAGATCCCAAAGGAACAGAACATGGGACTAGTGAAATGAAGATCTATTTGAAATAATGAGAAGTTTTAATTCCACTAAGACAAGTAAATATGGGTCTAAGATATTGAAATCTACCTGCAAACACAGGTTTGTTGCGGCTTCTGCAATCCACTAAGCCAAGTCAGTTCCAAGGTCTGCTGTAAATCCTGTGGAATTGAGGGGCTTTTTCTCTTTGTTTCTGGAGGCCCTAAGAGGATGCTAACAGTTGCTTTCCCAAAAACAAGAGCTGAAAAAAGGTACTGATATTTTCATTCTGGAGTAATCCTATAAACCACTGTTTTACAGGATGACAAGAGGTCTGAAACAGCAGTTTTTAATCTCTATCTGCAAGATGGGGAATAACTGGATTCCTTGTGCAGTTACCTTAAGCAAAACTTTTAGTAATTGGAATGCTCACCCAATGCTCAATATTACTTGAAGGCTGTGTTCTGTTTGTGTGGTTTGCTGGATGAAAAGAAAATATTAATTCAAGCAGTGACTACATAATCAAATGCCACAAGGTATCCTGAAGCGTTGGTGGTGGTATAGGCATTAATTTCCTTAGTATTTTGTTTTACTTGCAGCCATGTTAAGTTTTGTCATTTGGTTTTGCGAAGATGTGTGATAGCAAGAGAGGCACAAGGCAGAACTGGAAGAAAGGATTTTGAATGGATAAAAAAAGGCTGTAGTACTGACAGAATAAGAATTTTAAAAATGCTGCAGAAGCTGATATGTCCTAAGGACAAACTGTGTATCGACAGTAAGATGCGTGTCTAGACTGAATTAAAAAGCAATTGTTTAAGAGCACCAGAACTAATTAGGCTTGTTCTTCAATAGACTCCTCTTTTCTCTCATAGTCTTTACGTTTTGCTTGGGAAGCCAGGCTTTAGTCATGCTTTGTCCTGTTGTTGACATAAAAGGCTACCATCATTTAATCAGGCTATTTTGATCACTTCAGTCACCGAAGTATACAGCTCCAAGGAGAAGAACAGCACTAAAAGTGCTTAGCCCTGCTAGTGCTATAACCCTGGATCCAGAATAAGGGTAAATAGCCAAGACCACTTTGAATTGGTTGAAGGCTCTGGATCTCTTGCTTACGGTAGGGCTCTTGGACAGACTAGAAAAATGCCAAGATGCCACCAAGAGTAATATTTAATGCTAAGGTCTTGAGGGTGCTTTGTAACTTTCTTCAGAGGAAGCCTGACCCTTTCTGCTAAGAGGCATGATACAGTTTTGGAAATGTCTGTTCTCAGCAAACTGGCTTGAGTAGTCCCCATGCTTTCTAAACACATTGCAGACTGTAGAAGACAGTGTTGTCTTTGCTGCATCCTCATCTCTTCTCCTAGAAGACCATGAGGGAAGCATGAGTGCTCCAGGATGACTTGGTGGAGGTGGGAGGAGAGTGCCACAGAGTTGAGTGCCCATAGGCCGTGACCTACCCAAGCGTTTACTAGCTGTGTAGTATCATTGGTAATGAAGACCCAGAGGAGACTTAATCTGTTTGCAGCGCTTTTTCTTTTGTTTTCGCCTGATGTGTCAGTAGCGTAATGAATGTGGCATGAGTTTTGACTGCTTGTGAAGTGGGTGGCAGGGCAGGGGGAATAGGAAGGAAACTTTCCAGTTTAGGATCTGTCCAGAAACACTGTGATAGTAGTTTTGCATGTGGCTATCTTACTCTAAAATCTTGACGCCTTGCAAATGAAAGGGTTTGGGGCTGAAGGATCTGGTTCTTGACTTGAATGCTGTCATATTTGTGTGGTTTTCATTTTGTTTTTAAAGATAGTGGCTTCATTAGAAAAGTTAAAAAAGCTTCTGAAAGTAATGATGCCAATTAAATACATTTAGGCAAATCTGAACATGCTAGGGCAAATATTTACTAAGCTAAGGTTTACATGCTTAAGCTATAGAAATCAATGTTATTCTACTTGAGTGTACATCTGCAAATACAGTGTTCATTTATACAGCAAGATAATTCTTTTTTTTTTTGCAATCTGTGAATTATTATATATAGTCTTAATGTATGCAACTTGACCTATTTAAGTCAAAATGTGTATTTATGATTTTTTTTAATACGCTTAGAAAATATAAGGTACTTCTTGCTTGAAGATGTTATTAACTTTAAAAGTAGGTACTGCTTTTGATGAGGACCTCAGTTTATTATTTTATGACAGGACCTTGTAGACTTAATCTAGTACACACAAAAATACCATTGCAATGAGTAGAGTTTGTTTATGGCTATCAAAATCTGGCTGAAGAGAGGTGGTAGTAACTGGGAGAGATTTTATTCTGAATGCTTGTGATTCACCTAGCCTTTGGAGAACTGCTACATTCTTCACCTGTTGAGGTGGAGCCTGCCTTGAACTTCAAGGAGGAAAGCAAAACTTGAAAAGAGAATACAAACTGGTTCTTTCCAAACTTCAAATGGAAAAAAAATACCTCCTACCAAATGAAAATCAAACATACTGGCTCCTAGTCTGTCTGAGCCCTCAGGCAAAGATACTTTATTTTGCTGCTTGTTTAGTCTTGTAGGTACTTGGTTTCAGAATTTATCTGAAACCATTAGAGTCTAGCATCATTACCTGTGGAATTCTTAAAGGTGCAACTTCTGATCTTGCTTATCAAATTTTACTGTTGGATTCACAGATTTCAGACATATATGTCAGGTATTATAGGAGACTATAAAACTACAATAAAACTTCTTTTAATCTTGTTTTGCAATACCTTTAGAACTTGAGGAAATAATGTTCCTTGCTATATAGTAGCATTATATTAGAAAGGTTTTTATCCCTAGTCTTTCTGCTTTTATTCATCTGAATATAAAAATTCTGGTATTAAAGGGTGGTGGCCTTTTTCTTGTTTTTTGTTTTTCTGAAAACAAATAGTATGCATTGTTTGCAAGGTACAATACAGAGGAAACACAATTGTGCTAGAGAAAGAGTTGCCAAAACAGAATATTGTGGTACTTAGGTCTCATGAGGAAAGTGAAGTAATATACAGAAGTGCACCTATTAGAATTGCCACAATTATTGCTGACAGTTAAATAACTCCTGAAAGAACTTTGACCAAGCAGAGCTGTTTTTCTAGTTGTGATGCTTCTTCATTTGAAAGCTCCACTCAAAACCAGGTGTAAAGGGAGAGCGTGTTGGCATTGTCACGAGATGAGGGGCTGAAACATTAAGAGCTTTTGTGCCCTCAGGCTGGGTTTCTCTGCAAGCTCTATGTAGTTTGTCTTCTGGGTTTCTGAGAAGCCACAGGGTGTGTGGGGTCAATGTTTTGTTGTGACCCTGGCTGGTTCCTGAACAAATCCAGTAACCAATACTTCTGTTGAAGGAACCTTGGGGTCAGCTTCTCGTTCTTCTTTTTCAGCACATGTTTAAGGGGCATCTTCATCCAGCTACATTTAGGATTTCTGGGGTCTTTTATGTTATTCAGGATCACCGGCATAATGCAAATGGACCCATGGGTTGGAAGGGGAAGTGTACTATGAAGTTACCACTGAGTACTGAAGGTTTTCAGCTATAGTTAGCAAACTCTGTAAGTGTGTGAGCCACCTTTCACTGTAACAGGAAGACAATTCTGTAAGACACTGCTGAATCAGGACCTTACAGGAGATCCTTATTGATTCATAATGTGTTTGAGTGCTGGGGAGAGAAAAAAAAAGGTTTTGACAATGTATTTTATATAAATGTTATTAACTTAATCTGGTTCAACTAAAAAGTCCGCAAATTCTAGATCAGGTCATGTGTTCAACAAGTTGTTCTCTGGCATAGACATATACCTTCAAGATTGTAATGGAGTTTGTTGCTTTGTCGTAACAGAAAAATTGCTAAAGTGTCTTCTTTACAAATGGTTTACAGTACTGTTCTTTTTCTTTCTTTGTCTAAGACACTGTAAAGTTATTTAATGTGACAGAAAATTGAACTCACATGTCTTGAAAGCATAGTCAGATGCATAACAGAACCTAATTAGCACCAGGGGGGCTGGAGGGGAAGGAGAGGATAGTTCCAGAAAATGTTAGTAATACATGCATAATATTTATCTACATGTGTCTTATGGAAGCAATGTCTTAAAAATAAATAAATAATCTACAGTATGATATGCATGGTTTGTCTATCGGTAAATACTGTCAGAACCTTTACCTGAATAGTATTTAAACAGCTTTTAGAAAGCGGCCTAGGCATAAATGTACTTTTTAAAAAAAAAAAAAAGTTACTAGGAGATGGAAATTTACTTAGCTTTTATAAAAGTCACAATTTGCATTTAAAAACAAAAACCTTCCTTCATAAAAAAAACAGATTTAGGTTAGAAGGGTAAGAAAACCGGGAAAAAAGAAGGAAAGATGACTTGTCCTTTTTCCCCATCCCCCCAGTGGGGCAGACTTTCCGAACATGGATAATCTTTAGCATTTGGTTTGTTTCTGCAGGACTGCAGTGTTCCAGAGATCGAGTTCTGCCTGGGATCTGGCACAGGGGGACTTCCTATCTGCATACAAAGCGCAGTTGCCAATTTAGAAGAACTGGATGTTGAAAAAAACCCATATATAAGTGTCAAATCAGGAGTGTGAGTACTGAACCTGTTTTATAGCAGTTTGCCAGCAGGTAGAAAATCATCATGAGCTGAAAGTCAATGATAGGAATGATATTCTAGGTTTTTGCTATATATCAGTTAACATACACTAGATATTCCTAGCTCTACACTTCAGCATTGTGCTAAGCAAGCTTCTAGCAGTGGAAGCAAAGTTTTGAAGGATTTTTTTTCTTCTAGTTGCTGGCAGAGGTCTTCTATAATTCCATCTTTGAGTAGCTTTATAAATAGAAAGAGCAGCTCAGCTATAATTAGCTTTAAGTTCACTGGAGAATAGATGCCGTCTCCCTAGCCACCCACCCTGTTATAACTATAACAGTGTGGCTGAATACCAGAAGATGAGTATTACGTCATGCAAGCGTTCTTCGATTTATGGCTATATTCTGAGTTTTTGCAGCGAGATGATGTAATATGATAGAGGCTCCTTTGGTAGTCCAGCATTTCCTGTTTTGAGCAGAATAGTCTTGTTTTCTGGGTAAATGTCCAATACTTCGCATTTCCTGAAGTTTGGAAATTCTGTGCCTCTTCTTTGCAGAATGACATTAGCTGTTCTGTTACAAGAGTCTGAGTTTGCCTTTCCGTGCGAGCCAAGCTTTCCTTCCCACGATCTTGCAATATGTCTGTGAAGCTTGAGGTGATGAAGGAATTAAAAACAGAATCTTGTCATAGTTTTGACAGAACTCTGACTGACTATTAACTGCTTGTAGCATCTGTGTGTAGTTTTAAGTAATTGTCCATACAGCTCAATGTCTCTTCCTCCATTCCTTATTTTGTTTACTAACTCTGCATCCAACCTTTATGTTCAGTATTCTTTTTTATTTAAGGCAGTCTGAAGGAGTGTCAACATTTTTGATTTTCACATTAAAATTAAAGTATATGGCTTTCCAAAGGAGTGTCATAAACAATCATACTTTAATAACTTCCACTGAAAAAAAAATAAGTAGGATTGATGTTAGAAACCTTTAGATTCCAAAGGTGGCAGTCCTAGGTAAAATTTCACGTGTCTCATCCTTAATACTGGTGCTTTAGTATTGGTTCAGTATACTCACAGTGTAACAAACCTGGCTTCTTAAAGCAAGTAAGCAAGTTGGTAACTTTCTGCTCTTTTGTTTATGTTTGCCTGGGACTGAGTGAAAGTAATCTGAGATCTTCTTAGCATTGATAGTGCTGGTGTGTTTAAATAGCTTGTTTTTGATTGTGCTGACAGTATCTAAAACACATTGTCTACTGCTAATAATCAGAAAAAGAAAAATAATTTTAAGATTGTTACATTTGTAATGTATCTAATTAGATTAATAAGTCCTTTATCCCAATTGTTATAGATGGCTTGGTTATTCAGACTATAATTACAAAGGAGAGATGAAGATTTTGGAAGAATGCAATGAACCATCTGAAATTCCTTCAGCAGATGTGAAATCTCTGCGTCCCTTAAAAATGGTGAGGACTTCACAGCTCCCGTAATAAGTCAGTGTGCTTGCCTTTTGGTTGTTGTGAACCAAACAACAACCTTGGTCGTTCGATTGACAGAATCACAGAATCATAGAATTGCCTAGGTTGGAAGAGACCTCAAGATCATCGAGTCCAACCTCTGACCTAACACTAACAGTCCCCACTAAACCATATCACTAACCTCTACATCTAAACTGTCTTTTAAAGACCTCCAGGGGTGGTGACTCCACCACTTCCCTGGGCAGCCCATTCCAATGTCTAACAACCCTTTCGGTACAGAAGTTGTTCCTAACATCCAGCCTAAAACTCCCCTGGCACAACTGTAGACCATTCCCCCTCGTCCTGTCACCAGGCACGTGGGAGAACAAGCCAACCCCCAACTCGCTACAGCCTCCTTAAAAGGTACCTGTAGAGAGCAATAAGGTCACCCCTGACATGTGACTTCAGTTCTGACATCCTTTCAGGTTTAATCCTTACATGTTTAACAGTCTTCTCATGCCATGGTACATTGGTAGTGTTGGAATGGCACAGTAGTAACTTGTTCCAGGGCTTGCTGAGCTTCTGCACCAGCTCCAATAAGAACGCTTAGCCAGTGCAACAGCAGGACATGTTCCTGGGAAACTGCTGCTGTGGAGATCAAACCAGATAGAACTGAAAGATTTGTAGTTGTATTGCAACCAGCACCAATTCGTTAATTAAAACAGCCTTAGAAGTTGTTCATTGTCTTTTTTTAATAGTGCAGACACTGCTGGGGGTGGAAGAGAGGAGAGGATTTACTATTAAAAATACCCAGTAGTCTTCCTGTGACCTCACATTGCATACAAATCTTGAGAGGGGCAGCTAATTTTGATTTTGATAGACATCACATAGGTTTAATTGTGAAAAAGATATGGCAGGATATAACACATCATTTGACTGTATACATAGCAAGTCTACAGAAGGAGAATTTAAAATCCTCAAGTCAATAAAACATAACAGCTTGGAAGCTCCCACCTAACAGCTTGGGAGGTAGGTGTCTTATTCTCCTGCCAAATATCATTCACTAACATTTCCACTGGAAGTACATTTTTTGAATTTGCTCTTTAACCACAGACATGAATGTTTCAGGCTATAGTTTTTGTCTTCTCATGTTTATAGTTTCTTAGTGTTTCATCACTGATGCTTAAGTAACTCAAAATACATACAACACAGCTTTAAAAGTTAATTCAAAAAATTTTTCAATGCAAATTAGTTAAAAAAAAAAAAAAAAAAAAAACATGGTAAATATTTGCTTTTGAGCGCTAATAGACAACAAAGGAATATTTTAACATTGCTTGCACCCCTGCAGGGTTGTCAATGCACTGATTTTGTTTGTAGATCAGGTTGATAGCAACCCTGGCCTTCATGAATTATCAGAGCGTTTAAGCTAATGCTTGATTTGGCTAACACTGAGTATCGTGAATATAATTACAAAGACTTCATGATCTGATAGTAATGTGAAATGCATATCAAACCATAATTTCAGATTTTATATAAATACTATTTTCCATCTTTTTTTTTAGGGTGGACTAAAGGTACAAATGCCTATGAATGTCAAGGTAAGCACTGAGGATGCTGAAAATAAAACTGGAGCACTGGAAATACAAAACCCTTTTCAAGGCTGTTTTCTTTTTGTTGCATATGTGATGTTTGCTGCTGAAGGAAAATTCACTAATACTGTCAAGTCTGCTTTCTTACTAATGCTTCCTGAAATTTGAAAGTAGTAGTAGTAGTTTGTTTTTAACATATTAAGAGAATGTGAATTTGCTGTAGGAAAATTGTAAAGCTTTTGCAATGTAAAATGTTTTTCTCTGACTGACACATTCATCCCTGTAATGGAAGTGGGTCAGGAGGGATCTTCCCATTTAATGTACCACGTTTAAATAAAAAAAAAAATATGGGGGAGATTAGAATCCTTCCTTCCTATACCTGAGCTCAGTACCACAGGTCATGAGTACAACCACAAAGCTTCTGTGATTGGAGGAGCAGAAAGCTAATCTAGCATTATTGTTCCTCATTCCTCCTTTTTCTGTTTCTCCAAAAAATGCTAATAGTATAGGTAATTTTTAATTATGCAAATACATGCAACACTTGGAAATGTTTGTAATAAATAATGTTAATAAATATTAATACTGTTGATAACTGATCTGTGTGGTTTGGCAGATGAAGAAGTCACTTGGGTGTGTATGTTATCTGCAGTCACTGAAATTACTTCAGCAAAGTGCAGAGATGTTGGCTCTTGTTGACTCTGAAACTCTTGACTAGTTTTAAGGGTTAGCTCAGCACATCTAGCTGTGACAGAGCTAGGATTTGCTGCAAGCTGTTATCCACTGCCTAGGCACCGTATTACAGGATAAATCATAGTCATATAGCTGCAGAGTGCAGTTACATTCAAACTATAATTCAGGACGTGTTCAAGGCATTGTTTGAAATCATGTTTTCTAGATGATAATATATGAGAAAACACACTTTGGAGGATGGTCTAAAGAGCTTTCAGAAAATATCACTTCTGTCCTGGCTCTGTTTGATAACAAAGAGGATTTCAAGGAAATTGGATCAATGCGCATCATTGGTGGAGTGTAAGTGTATTTCACATTTGTATTTGTGTACTTTAAAATAGAAAATTGTAACTAAGTGTTAGGAAGTGCCAACTAAGGCATGATTAGAATTTCTCTCGGTAAAATATTTTGAGAAGAAAGAAATACACATTTCTCTTGTCAGTTATAAGCCTTGAAAAAAATTACCTCTCTTTGTGGCTTACCTATCTAAGAAAATACTGGAAGGTAAAGCTAAATGTGTGAGGGGTGTGACGTCAGCAGTTGACCATTTAGATGCCAGTAAACTGGGCCACTTTGTTCCTTAATGACAGCTTTCACACAGAGCTGTAATTTAGATTGATTTATGCTTCCGATAATCTCTATTTGATTTACGTAAATGACCTTCAATAGGTGTGGACAGTCTTCAGTTTGACATTTTAATACCTCTGAAATCTATAAACTGTCTTACTGTCTTAATGGCTTTACTTTGCCACCTGTTGCATGTTATCTAAAAATAAGAATGCACTCCTTTGAGGCCTGGGATTGACTCTGTGTCACTTTGTCTGTCCCTCCCTCCTTCTCACACACACAAAAAAAGCTGTGTAACAGAACCATACGCTTAGGTGAACTTCTCAAGAGGTAGGCTCAGCTCCAGCTATTCTAGAGAACTACTAATCCACAGATCGTTCTTTCAACCTCTCCCAAGACCCAAAAATTTAAGATGGTTTGAAAGCATACAGGATGGTTGCTTCTGCCAAAGAGCTTAGCAATGAGATAGTTTTCAGAAGCTTTAATTTTTTTCTTAGAGGGTTTCAATACTTCAATATAAAGACTCAAGAATATACAGGCTGTCATCAGAATCTTACAAGCACTAAATTAAAAATAAACTTAATTATGAATAAACAAATAATCTATTCAAATAAATACACTACATATTAGCTATCTGGGAAACCTCAAATTCTTAAAAATCATCCTTCTGTCTGTTGTGGTGTCTTTTATTTTTAATACTGTGGTAACTTAAACAGATGAATTAATGTAAACCAAATGGTACTAAAAGTAAAGCTATCACTGCCTGCCAAATTTCAATGCCAACAGAATTTGTATAGCAGTTCTAAATACTTGCAAGGGAGTTCTAGTGAAATAAATGCTTTCAAGAAAGAAATTGGGGGGGAGAGACACTTTTTCAAATTAAGTTCCACTTTCAAAAATGATACAGAAACACCTTATTTTAATTGATTATCTGTTTTGTTCAAAATAATTTTAAGAGTTTTATTCCCTTAGTATTTAAATATGTTCTATATACAATATATTGTATATATTCAATTCATTTGTCTATTCATAGACTAGAGCAGGAAACAGTATAAGTGGGTGAAACCTTCCTCTGCTGAAATTCCTGAATATTATCACAAACTCCAGCAAGGGTAGGATCTTCTCATTCATGAAGACATGGAAGAGATTTTCTGCTGGGTTGTATCATTGGCAATTGGTGCCTTACAGTGTTTTGGCTGCTAGATGTGTTAGCCTCTATTTAGTACTGAATATTGGTATTAAGAATATGGCTGACTGAGGAGAGATATATCAAGTAGCATTACACAAATAAACTGTTGTTGGAGAAACAATCACATGGCAGAATTTTGATCCACAAAGAGCGCTTGGTTGTGTGTTGTGATTTCCAACAAATCTTGCTTTGTTTGTTAGCGGAGTCTGTGATACTCATCTTACTGTTCTTAGGATGTTCATTTCCCCTTTTATTTGTTATGAAAAATCATGTGTGGAGTTGTTTTCCTTTTAGTTATTTCTCTTTATTTTGTTGTGTGGTTACTGTAGATGGGTTGCTTATGATAAGGAACGCTACAAAGGCCGTCAGTATTTGCTGGAGGAAGGAGATTATGAAGACAGGCACTCATGGGGGGGAACTGACAGCGTCCTCCTGTCTTTCCGGTTTCTTCAGGCTGTAAGTAGTTTTATGAATTTCATACAAATGATTCACAGCTCTATACATAAAGAAGGTTATTCTTCCTTTACGGTAGAGGTGTCGTGTGTTTGGTCATTCCATCGGTCGTCCAAATTCACTCTCATTTTCTTACTTGCTGAAATTTAGACTGGACTGTATATGTTGTAAAGTGGAAGCAGGTTTTGAATAGCTTTTCTAAAGTTCATGAAATAATGTATCATGCAGAATTCCTTGTTCCCCTGCCAGATTTTCAAAGTACCTCACTTCTGCACTTTAAGCTGTTCAAATCTCTAGAATAGATTTTTTATTTTAAGTTTAACATTGGTAAGTGTACAGTGTAGTTCCTTATTAAAATATAAAATAGTTTTTCAACATAGCAGCTGTTGTGAGCCTTTAAACATTACCCTCTGTCTCTGTGATTTTTGTGCCAGAAAATTTTGGCAACAAGAATAATCAAGTGGAAAAAATCCATTCTACTAAAATGTGTTTAGTGGGGACAACGATGAAATAATAAAAACTATATCAGAGTCCAGCACTGGAAGTAATGTTAGATTTTCCAGTGATATAGAAACATGGGATTAGAATTTCCTTACTATTTCATTTAGTGGGGGGTTGATTTGGTTGGTTGGTTTTGTCTTTTGTCTTTTTTGTTGTTGGGTTGTTGGTTGTTTTTTTGTATGTCTTTTGTTTGTTTGTTTGATTGATAATAAAAGGAGCTTTGTGAGTATTCCTGCTCTTTGAATGCAGCTGCAAAGAGTGGCTCCTTTTGAGAATTAAATTGCTTACTCTGATGTTACCCAGTCTTCCAGATGTGATGTGATATTCCTGAGCCAGGAGCTTTGTGGAAGTTGAAGATAGGCACCTAGAGCAAACTAATGCAACAGTCACTTTGGATTTTTTTATCTATTTATTTATTTATTTATTGGTTGGTTGTTTTTTTTGGGAGGGGAGGAGTGGGGGTATAAAGAGGGGAGAATGCAGTGAATTGAAGAAATATATTCCCTTCTAAATAATTTATTTTCAGGTTTGGCAAGAATTTTCTTCTCTTTGTTTTGAATAGGAATAATCCTATTCAATTACTGACTAATCTTTTTCTTTCTTAATTTTCAAGCTATACATAGCATACTTGAGTAACTTAAAATGATCTTTCTAAAACTTCTGTTCAGCAAATGACATGAGTTTAAAATTGTGCACATGCTTTGTAGGAATGAGCTTCTATGTATATGCATGTATATACAATCGTGTACACCAATGAATATGCCGATCTTAGGAAGCTCAACAAGAGTAAGTGCTGGATTCTACAAGTTGAACTTGAGCCAACAGCATGCCCTGGCAGCCAAAAGGGGTGCATCAGGCATGGCACTGCTAGCCAGTCAAGGGAAGGGATTGTCCCACTCTGTTCTGTGCTGGTGCAGCCTCACCTCGAGTACTGTGTGCATTTTTGGTGCCACAGTATACAAGGGACATAAAACTATTTGAGAGTGTCCAAAGGAGGGCTGCAAAGATCGTAAAGGACCTAGAGGGGAAGACACCTGAGGAGCAGCTGAGATCCCTTGGTTTGTTCAGCTCAGAGCAGAGCAGGCTGAGGGGAGGCCTCATGGCGGCCTGCAGCTCCCTCACGAGGGGAGCAGAGGGGCAGGTGCTGAGCTCTGCTCTCTGGGGACAGCGATACAGAATGGCATGAAGCTGTGAGAGGGGAGGATCAGGCTGGATGTTAGGAAAAGGTTCTTCACCTAGAGGGTGGTTGGGCACTGGGACAGGCTCCCCAGGGCAGTGGTCACAGAACTGAGCCTGCCGAGTTCAAGAAGCATTTGGACAATGCTCTCAGATGCAGTTTGATTTTTAGGTGGTCCTGTGTGGAGCCAGGAGTTGGACTCAATGATCCTTGTGGGTCCCTTCCAACTCAGGATATTCAGTGATTCTTTGATTTAATTTGACAAAAGCCTAAAAGAGTCAGGTTGCTGAAGCCCCTAACATTTTGAAAACATGTATCAATCACATTCATGTAACAACATATACCATTTAAATAGTCATGTACATTTATATCAATATGTAAGTATTGATAGTAGAAATATAAGTAATGCTTTTCCTCAGATTGTAGCATAACTTTAAAAAAAATAAGGTAGTTTGTATTTGGAACCAATAAAACAACTGATGGCGGTGCCATTTTATTCTGCTCGACCAACAGATTGACCTCCACTTTCAAACATAGGTCAGTGTTCAGGCATGCCATATGTTCCCTTTGTGACTTTGTGTATGCTATTTAGGGTCAGGATTGTAAACACATTTTACTACCAAACTCTTTTTTTAGAGGGGACTTGGGCAAAAATGCAAAAACAGCTGTCTGTGCCTCAGGCCCCTTGCTGCACAAGGAGCATGCAAGTTCATCTCTATATTTCATCAGTGCTGTGAAGAGGAGTGTGGTGAAGCCTACGGTGGTCTCAGACTCAGCAGGGTTGTTCCCACATACCAGATATTTATTATTTTTTCCTGGAAATTCTGTTTTAGTCAGATGAATTCAAGAATGTCTGCAGAAGATGAAGGAATTTGTGACGTGTAGCTGTGTTGCGTTATTCATGGTCTTACAACAGGGAGCGGGACTGGGGACTGACTACTTTCCGCAGGTACTCACCAGTGTCATCTCATGCAGGAGCCCATCCAGCTAGACAGTTTCCCTCAGGCATCACACCAGATGACCTGGACTGTGTTGGCTTTAAGGCTAGCCCAGGCCTGAAAACAATTTAACCCAGTTCACACGGCCCGGAGCCCCAGCTAATGAGCCCTGTGTACCTGAGTCAGCTGCAGGCAGAGTCAGGGCACAGGTCTCTATGCTATGCTCCCAGAGCAGGGAGCATGGTGCAGGAGCACGTAAATGGCTGTGTACAGCCTGGCTGGGTATGGCGTGCCTCATTAGCCTGTGTCAGTACCGGCTCTGTTAAATGTGGCTATGCAAAGCTCTTCAGGTGTTTCTGTGCCACGACAGTCAGCATGACAGGTTCCCTGAGAGCTTATTAGCACCAGGAATATCCAAGCCATATTTCTGTGTATTAATCCAAGCCTCCACTCGTACCAGCTAGTGCAGTAGAGCTGAGACGTGAGTTTAATCTCCTGACTAATCAGAAAGGTTTCTTCATTGCACACAAAAGAGGGATTGTGGATTTCACCCCTCCCTACCCACTGGTAAAGATGCACATGCACGTAGATATGCTCTAAGATATTTCAGTTTGGGTCTGTCTCAAATATTTCTGTTGCAACCTGGCACAAGCTGTCATGTAGGGATTTGGTAGTGTTTTGAAAGAAGAGATAGGAAGCTCGTGTAGAGCTGTATTTTCCAGCATGCTGCCAGCTCTGCTATCAGCAGCTACGTTGGAACGCTGTAGTCAAATGCAGGGCATGTTCCTGAGGGAGGGCAGCAGTTTGTACTGCATGGTGATATGGGGAACCACTTGCATTTGATGTTTTTTCCAGGGTCAAATGAGAGAATCTGTGAATTTGGGGTATGCCTGTGTTTGTCATGATGTTTTCAGGTCTAAAGTGGTTGGCCTTGTCTTGGAAGTTCATTTTAAAGTATTCTCATATTGCTTACTATGTGAGAAACTGCTGTGAAAACTTAGGGAGGAAAAAAAGATGACTGTATTTGAAATGTCTTTTTGATTAGACTTGTGGACATATTATCAGCATTTTAAATGTAAAGAAATTATGCACGTGTTTGATCTAAATAGCTTTTCAGGAACTCATATAAGATTCTTGCTTTAAGACTGTTAAGTTAGCCATTTTCTATTGTCACTACAACTGCACTAGTATTTTTCTTTTTTTCTAAAAAGTAGCCTGAAATTGCAGTTGATGATTTTACCAAAAATGATACTTTTTTTCTAGTTTCTAATTTCTAGTATATGCCTGAAGTACTTAGATCTTCTTAAATAAATGAAAGAAGTAGGTGGTCAATATAATAGGAAAACCAGTTGTACACAAGTTGCTCTGTCACTTTTTAGTGTACTGTAAACAAGAGGTCATTCCACCTTAAGTGTTCGTTCTAAAATTGGTTTTGGTTATGATTGAATCCTGCAAAAAGGCATGATCTTCTTTAAAAAGTCTGGTCAGATTCACCTGACCAAATGAATCTGGCTGCATGCTTGGTCTGGCCTTAATTTTTAAGTGTTTTTTTGATTCTTGTAAGTCTGGTTTTGTCAGTGTATAGCCTTCAGCATACTGTTCTCTGCATGGTAGTTTAAGTGCTACATCAACAAGTATTTAATGTAATAATTCTTATGAGGGTGTCCTCATATGTTTTGTGAATCTTTGTTGGCTACTGCATTTGCTTGACAGCCTTTTCTTCTGTTTGCAAAACTTACTTATTTGCAACTTACTACAACATTGCAGAATGTATCAGAAACACTGAAACGGAATTGAGTTCATGCTCTTGTTAAATTTTAAAGAAAGTAAGTGAATGGAAAAGAGGGGAGATTTAGATTAGAGGTTCGAGGAAATTCTTCACTCAAAGGGTGGTGAGGCTCTGGAACAGGTTGCTCAGAAAGGTTGTGGATACCCATCCCTGGAGGTGTACAAGACCAAGTTAGATGAGTCTCTGAGCAACGTGATCTAGTGGGTGGTACACCTGCCCATGGCAAGGGGGTTGGAAGTAGGTGATCTTTGAGGTCCCTTCCAACCAGGCCATTCTGTGATAGTTGTTTTCCATATTCACAAGCAGTGGCTGAGCTGCGTGCTTACAGCTGCTGAGTGGTTAAGACGTTATGCTGGCTGAAATCATAAAGCAGTGTCACACAGCTATATAGGACAGAATATGATAATTCGGTATGATATTTATTTTATTGCTGTAGAGATCAGTCATGCAGTGAATGTCTCTAAAATCCATAAACCCTTTGTGCTGAAAAGGTGATCTGTACCTTCCCAGATGTTACCCAGTCTTATCGTCTCCATTACTGCCTTGAACATGGGAAGATGGAGAACTTGAAGTAAAAGGCTGTAGTGATGGTAGTGATTGGAGTTGTCATTTGTGAAGCTGTTGGATGATGAATGCTTGGTCCCCAAGCATTCTTTTGCCCAGGCAGGCATCTTTGCACACAGTCATTCTTGTTACGAAAAGGGTGGTGGTCAGGGGCAGCATGTTCTTCCTCTCTAAAGTGGAAACCACTGAAGGACAAACCAGATTGACAGGCTTCCAGCTGCATTCTTCAATGCCAAAGTCCTCCTTGAAGATTCATATAAGGGACATACACCCCTTCATTGTTTTATAAAATGTTGTCTACAGCTCTTTTCCAAAATGTTTTATGTTGTGAAGTGTCGTGAGTTGTGGCAACCTATCTTCTAACTCCTGTGTTGCCTCTTAGGATTTCATAGAGTCATCAGTGGCACTTTTTCAGTCTGAGGATGAAGACGGGAAAACACTGGACATCATCAATGAAGAAATTCCTGATCTGGAGCAGGCTGGATTTGGCCCAGAAACAAGGTCGATTCTTGTGAGAAGTGGAGTGTAAGTCTACTGAAATCTATGAATGGAAGTATTAAGTATTTTTGTGCAGATCTGTTTTGGAGTGCATCTTTTGACAGAATATATTTCACATGGTACAGGTGGTGAATAGTTGAGGGAGAACAATATTTCTCTCTGTTCCCTTGGTAAATGAAGAAAATATCTTAATGTTTTCTTTAAGTCTTATGCCTACACCTTGATTTGAATCTGGGCACTCTAGTTACTAGAGAAGGATTGTGACAATCCTCCAGAAACTACACAGGCTGTAGTTACGTGACACAAACACTTCGGCAATAATACAGAGCATTATCATATGGAAGAGGGATTTTAGGTATGTTAAGAACTGGGATACCTTATGGGACAGGTGGAGCCTGTACAAAAAGGATGTGTTGTGCCTTAATCATGATAAAGTCAGGCTGTAGGCACTAAAAATTAAAATAGTTTTTAGATAATTATTTAAATTAAAAGCTAGGGGTCAAACCAACAGGTGTTGAAGAGTATCTGTTTCAGGCTGATGAAACCTACAGGGTGGACTTCATTAATGTTCAGTGTGCTTATGTGAAGTCCAGGACAAAAGTAAACAGCACAATTGCAATAAATAAGGAAGGTAAATTAGACCATCTGCAATGTCTGTTGACAGGTATATGAAGTATTAAGTGATGAAGCAAGGACAAAGCTTACAAGTACTTCTATCCCAGTGCCAGAAGCCTAAAAAATACTGTGGGGGGAACTGGAATCTTGCTTGCTTGGCATCAAATGGCAGCTCTGATACAGCAGACATCACAGAAATTTACATGAAGGATAAGCAGAGGAGTGTTGCAAGGCTACCGACTGCTGGCCAGCGTGCATACCTTGTTGTTGGAAACAGCCACTGTGCTACAGGTCTGGTAGACTGCCAGCTTAACTCCATCTCCACAAATGGCTTAGGAGGGGCTCCCTGGGACCTACAGACTAATGAGTCTGGCTTCAGTCCATAGTAAAATGGGAAAATCTGTAAGATCATGGACTGCATGGTTAATCACAGTCTGTAGGGAAGGACTTAATGTGGCTTCTGTAAAGTCAAGTCCTGCCTCACTAAACTTCTGGTATTCTATGAGAAAATGGATATGCTCATACATTAAAGATGGTCCTGTAGACACTAGTACTTAGAGGGGAAAAAAAAAAAGAAAAAAAAGTCTTTGAGAGAACAGTAGAATGGTGTATAGTTTGTTAAAGAAATAAGGTTGTATGGAATTGGAAGAAAAGTTCTGTTACAGAATGAAAGCTGGCTGAAGTATAGGAAGCAAAGTATAGGGTTCATTGGGCACTTTTAAAAATGGAGAAGAGTTGTTGGTTTCTCAAGCGCTGGTGATGAATCTGGTTTTATTCAATCATATATTTAATGATTTATTCAGGAAAACTTGGTAATCTGGGAAAAGAAGCAAGCAGTGAACTCTTCAAGTCTACAGATGACAGACTAAGTTTTTATGAGCAGTTAAGGGTCACGTTAATGGTGAGGACCTCCAGATGGACCTAATGAAATTGACCAGGCAAAAAGGTGGCAGGTGGAACGTAGAAAAATGTATATTAATAAAAATAGGGACGAGTAATGTAAAAAATGCTTACATGGTGCTAAATTGTATGCTTGTAATTACGATAGACTAGGGAATGAGGTGTCCTCTAATATCCCTAATATAACAGTCTCGGTTTATGGGGGACTAATAGAGGAATGTACCAAGGAAAGTGTCCAGATTAGTGGCATCTCCCTAACTTGCCTCTACCTGTTTATGTAACTACTAAAGAACATGTGCAGGGCTAGATGGGGCCATTGGTCTCACACAGGGTTCCTTTCTTCTTTAATTGCAACATGGATAGTAGAGTGGAAGTAGTCTGAACTGGCAACCATTGCAAGCTTTTGCTTTATCTCGAATTCCTCATTTATTTCTCTTTCTTCTTACACCATTTCTCTTAAATTCAACTGGAAGTGTTGGAAGAAAGATTTGTCTTGGGGGAGGACGAGGAACAGGTAAAGATTGAGCTAAAAGAGATCAAAGAACTTGTCAATCAAATATCTTTCCTCTGTCCCTCTAAGTAAGGCATGATCTTTTTTCTGAATATAAATTTGATAGAAGGCAGAGACCCAAAGTGGAATCTTTGTCAAATTGTTTACATTTGCAACATAAAAATAGTAAATCAAGTGTGTGACCTGTAAGCACCTCAGATGGAATTTGATGTTACACTGTCAAATGAGCTTTTCAAGAAAAATTCCAGGGAAAAATGTTCAACTTGCTAGTATATTCATTAAACTACACAGGAAAACAGGATGTTTTCAGTTTATTGTTTGTGCCATTTTCCAGATGGGTTGCGTACCAGCAGAAACATTTCTGTGGAGAGCAATATGTATTGGAGAAGGGAAAATACAAGTGTTTCTTTGACTGGGGAGGATCCAGTAAAATCATTATGTCAATTCGACCTATTAAATTGGTGAGTTGCTAGAACTTGTTAAGGGGAAAGCTTAAAAGAAAGGAGACCTGTCAAGTTCAGAGCATACAGGAATTTTGTAATTTGGGTTGTGTTGTTTAATCAGTTTATCTGTTTACTTGGAAATAAATTAAAGACCCTTATGGATGACACACAAATAATCTGTTCAGGATGGAGACTGGACCTACTTTTTCTGAAATGGACATTCTGGACCTTTCTATCTGTTAATGAGAAAATTGCCAGGGAAACTTTATAAGAAGAACCTCCCTTTGGCAGACTGCATTCTTGGAAAGAATAACCTGACCTGGAAAGACTCATTTGCCTTAAAACATAGTAAAATATAACATCTAATTGATAAATTCTCAAAGTATTTTTATACCCATTATCTGACCTGTATTATTATTGCGTAACAGAGCTCTGTAGTGGTGTTGTGTTTTTTTTCATGTTTTCCACTAAAATATTTATAAGGTATATAGCAAATAAAAGGAGGAAAAATTTGTAATCCGTTATTAAATCCAAGGTAGGGCAACTTGACCAAATGGATTAGTGCCAGCACTGTCAAAGCCCTAATGCAAAGCAAAGAAAATCCTCAGTAATGAGTATATACTAAATGATAGTACTGCACTGAAAACAGAAAATTAACAAACATTTAACCTTATTTTGAAGAGCGTGTGTTGAAAGAGGTATACCAATATTATTTGAATTTTGTGTTTTTTCATGAAATACACTTAAAATAAATACAGAGAAATTTACATGGACTCTAATCCATGACATGTGAACTAATAAATTAGTTACATGAACTAAATAATTATGCAAGCTCTCTATGTGGAAAAGGACTGAACAACCAGACATGTTAGTCATGAGCTTCTAGGCATCTGATGGCAGAGGATGGAGGAAGAGAATTGTGCCGAGAGCATAGGAAGTGTGTGTCTCTGCTCCTGAATTTGTAGCTTACAAATTTCAGGAACTTGACATGTGTTATAGGAAACTAATTGTAGTTAATTTTATTTGTTCATATGCATGTGTATATACTTATTATTGCAGGAACCTCTTGGAACGAATGAACCTCCACATTGGGTATGTTGACATTATATAACAGTCTCTAGTACTAAAACACATTTAATGATTAAACACAGGTAATGCTGAATTTATTGCTTCATTACTTCAGATGAATATCTCAGTATTATCATCTCCATATAGTAGAGCATTGCTTGAGGAAGCTGGTAAATGTGTAAAGGCTGTTTGCCAATGTTCTGTTCTTGGTTTTATTCCAGATCATACCCTTTAGTGTTCTGTACTTAAAAAAACACAAGCATTTCAGTAGGTTCTGAGTGACTTTGGATCTTTCTAGCTAGCTATTTTCCTATTCTTTCCTTCCTGTTTCTCGAAACTTTCTATTGCATGCATTCATCCTTTTCTTTGTGGTGTACATTCTTTCCATTCTTTTCTATTGCATCTGGTTTGTCACTATCTTGCTTTATGTATGAGGTGAAGAGTAGCAAAGTACAAACTGCAAAAAAATGAACTGCACTCTTTAAATCAGCAGGTCAATCAACAGGGGAAGTAGGGATTTTTGTCTTACATGTTGGTAGCTCTGCTTGTCATAGTCTTCCAAGTGTTGCATAGCTGCTCTTGTAGGAGTGTGCCCCACATACTCCATGCTTTCCTTTTCCTCCTAGTAACATAGGACCTTCATTGAACACATCTTAATTATAACAAATTTGAGATAATTCTTTTCTATTATACATTCTAACAATTTCCTTTAAAGTTCTGTCTGCCTTAGTGACAATTTATAAAGAGAAAAAGTAGTCCCTATAATTCACTTCAGTTTTCAGGACAAGTTAGTCTGGGGGTTGGCACTTCTGGTCTTTATCTTACAAGGTTGTGTTCCATTAACATACCTTTAGTGGTATCTTTCCATTAACATACCTTTGTGGTATCTTTCTATATCTAAAACCTGCTCTAAATGTTTGTGCTCGTCACCAAGGATGGTCTGTGTCTCCCACAATGTTCTTCCCTGACAGAACTCTCCTTCATTTCTGCAATTGTGGTTTGATTTTTCTGTCCTGGAATGGGTTGCTAGCATGGGTGATTATTTAAGTTGTTATATTGCTCTCCTTATGACGTCCTTTTAATTAAGCAAATTCGGAAAACTTTATTTTGGGAAACATGACATTTTTGAAAAGAGAGGGACTCTAGAACTCAATGAAAGTTTTAGAAAACTTAAGTACTTTGTCATATGGACATAATCTTGTTCTCTCTTCCTTCAATGAGTATAATAGCCATACACACGTGGGAAGTACATGCATTGTGTTACTTAGCAGGTTGACCACACCCTTCTTTTTCTCTAAGTACTCTAGTTCTACAATTTTATGATAAACCTAGGACTACAGGAAATGTTTCCTGTCTGAAGACATAATTGGTGTATTATTTTAGTCTTAAACACTGATTTCCTGCCAGACCTATTCATAAGGCAGTTTGCGGCCAAATTCAAAGACTTGCAAGTACATTAACAGTAAGGCCTTGCTAAAGGATACTAGGTAAAATAAGATAATGTGACACTCGGATTAAACCAGTGGAATCCAAACAGTTGAAAATAATTTTCTCTCTGTCTTCAACTCTTCTACTTTTTCAGCATTTCCAAAAAAAAGTATTCAAGTGCTTTATTGCAGTTTTGCAGACCTTTAAGATCAATTAAAACCTCTGAAGTCTCAGTAAATTGTATTTATTGTCTTCCTGATTTCCAGTAATGTATCAAAAAATCTGCATGTGTGTGTGTCTGTGTGTGTGTATATACACAGTCACCTAAAAATATTGGTCTGTACCAGATTATGCTTTGCCTGTTCTATTCTCTAGTACCATTCTGAATCCCATTTTAAAAAGATGCTGTCCTGATTTATTACAATCCTGATTTTAATAGGATTCTGCCCTAAAACTAGGGAAGGAAGAACATCATTCATATTGCTACAGTTCTTTTAGGAAGGGAAGTATTTTGAGTAAATTTTTGTAAGGAAAAAATTCATAATAAGTATATATATAATATATATATTCAATAATAAGAATAAGTAGTAGTAATGGACAGTGTTTCAAATAAATATAAGCATTTTCCCATTCAAAGTTAATGAAATGTTTCCATGTGCGTAACAGTCTCTTAGTTGAGAAATTCAAAGCATGTTGCGTATGAACGTAAGCATCCTAAGTACTTCACCCTTGAATAAGCCATATACCAGTTATTTTGAATGATTCTGCCTATATTCTCCCACCTTTAATAACCATATGTCTGAGTTAAGGGAACTGTGTTCACTGTCTAGGGGAGAGTGTCTTTTTTCCACATTGGTTTTTAGTTGTTATACAGAAATGGAAAAACAACTAAATTTTCTTTAATCTTTCAGTAACTCCCCTGACCTTTTACTCCTGCCAGGCTCCATAATAAACAAAGTACATATGATGCAAGAATGACTGAAATCATCAATTCTAAAAAGCCAATCATTTTATTTTTTAAAAAGAAAACTTCGTCATGTCCAGCAAGAACAAAGCCTCTTTCATTAACAGTTGACTTCAACAGTTTAGGAAGCAGAGAGAACTGCAGGTGATAACGTGTTTGAATTTCCAGCATGCTGTCTGTTGACTTTTTAGGAAGCAAAACCTTATAAAGTGACATCAAATCCTAATAGCTGCCGTTTGATACTAATTGCAGATATGTAATGCTGTCACTGAGGGGCTGGTACTTCATCTTAGCTTTTGTGAACCTGAAGACCATCATTCATGACTAGATGTATTCTGAATAAAAATGAGTCACAGATCTTTTTTAAAAGTAGAAGTAATTTTTCAAATGCATAGCATCTGGCCTATGAAAGAAAGACTATATGTGCATATATTCCGTTATAAAAGACTTTAAGGTATGTGCATAGAAAATAGTACATAGTTACAGCTTAAATAGATGCTGTGGGATATTGCAGTGCAATTATATTTACAGGAAAAAAAAATTGTTATGCTTTAGCCATCATATTGTAGCTGATCTATTTTCTTCAATTTTTAGTTATATCATGCAAGGCCAGGTTAAGCCTTTCTGGTGTTTTTTTCTTTTTTTTTTTTCATTTTCTTTTTTCTTTTTTTTCAGCAAGAAATATATTCATTTCTTTTAAAAACATAGTCTGAAGTTTTCCATAAAATCATTTGCTAATTCTTGTGTTTGGCCTTCTCTCTCGGTACTGGCAAGAGCATTTCAGTTCTTTTCTTTGGCAGGAAGCTAGGCCAGTTTGGGGCATAATGGGGGAAGTAGCTCTTGCAAAAGCTGTAGTGTTTTTCTTCCATTACAGAATATGAGCTGTTCTCTTGATAAAGTTAAATTTTGCATTCTTTTCCAGCCTCTCTTTCGGGCTTTAAAGTGAAATTCACTTCAGTTACACGGTGGTAATCCAATGGTACAGAATTCTAAGTGACTTTCACTATAAGTCATAGGCTATATTATACTTTTAAAAAAAATAAAATTATTATTTTAACCTTTTTAACTGCAGTACCTTCCATCGTATCATTTTTCAGGGTGAATTGAAAACATCTTATTGTGGGGTCTTGCTCAATGTGGCTGGAAGTTCTTCTTCATGACATGTAAAACTATATTAGGTGAACTTCATATATTGATGGTGCATCTTACCAAGCTGCACCCACTTGTCCCCAGAAATTCTCTTGCTGGTTCTTGAACGAGAAACTACCTGTAATCACCGTGGTCACAGAAGATTTCAAGGCACTTAGTCAATAGTAGCCCTGTATCTTTTGACCAATGCTTTCCTTTCCTGTTTTGAACCCCGGATTACTGAGAGTTATCTGCAGTTCAAGGGTGCTTCAGATGGAATATCCTTCAGTCCTAGCCTTCTCTTCAATCTGGGTCTTCTACTGCATTTGAACTTACATTTGACTACCACTGCATTAACATCACCATAACAGTGTTATTAACATCATTAGCATCAGCTTTCTAAACCAGGAACAGAGATGATTAAAACAAAGTCTTTCTAATGAAGAAAGCAGCTATAGAAATGTAAAAGAATCCCTGAGAATTCATTCTATTTATTGTATCTTTGTGAATTGAATGGATACATAAGACCACAGCTATCTCTGTTTACATTAACAGCAATGAGTTTATTTCCCTTCTAGTCATTGGCTTTATTTTGTTTTGTTCTTGTAGCTCAAAGCTTTCAGTAATACACATTTCCAAGGAGCATGCATAGATTTCACAGCAGAAGTTTCTGATTTCACATCATTCATACCATGTTCTTTTAAGGTTCTCCGGGGATGGTAAGTCTGTTGTTTTACATGCCACCATTTTAAGTAATATGATTTTTTTTCCTACTGTGACTTTATTTAAGATCATCAAAAGTGCATAACTCTCAAATTTCAAATTGTCAAAAGTGTATAACACACTCTGATCATATTCCATCACATCTTAGACCCTTTGTCTTACAGTAGAGCTCAGTAAGCGTTGTCCTGCTATTGATTTGGAAAGTATGCCTTTGGCTTTCCCTGTGGGAAGTGGACAGTTACTGTGACTTTTTTTTTAAACTCCTGTTAGCATTTATTCCAGACTTTAAGAACTTCTGTGCAGGAGAGGTATCTGCATTCCATTAGTGTTGTTCGAGTCTGAGATTTCTATATCACATGACTTGGTTTTGCTGTTTTGGTTGGTTTGTCACATAGCCTTTCAAGCCACCTTCATTCAAAGCTTAACAAGAACAAACAATTTTTTTTAATTCCTCACTTCCTTAGCAAATATTAAATCTTGAAAAAAACGTACTGTTAATAAGCAGCTAGAGCTGCTAATCTTTATTTTTGCTACATTATTCTTACAGTTGGCTCCTGTATTACCAAGGGGAAATTGCTGACAATCACTGTGTGCTGGAAGAAGGCCTCTACGTTGACCTCACTTCCTGTGGCTGCCCAACTGCTACAATCAAATCCCTCAAGCCTATTGAATACGTAAGGACGTTATTGAAAATAATAATGCTTTGGAACTCTTCTCCCAGTCAGATGTCTAAAGCAAGTGCTTGTGTTAAACAAACTCCCACTCAAGGAAAAGAATGAAGTTTTTTTTCTTGGCTTATGGGATTTTGGGGTTTGGAACAAGTCAGGCTGTGTGCACACATGCACGCATTCACTTGTAGGCACACACTCCTGGATGCTTGTGTGTTCTGGGCTGAAAGTTGCTGTCATTCATACAAGTTGCATTGTTTGGTGTTTTTCTGACTGAATTTTGTAATGCAGCTCAGCAAGCTTAGTACACAGTGAGATGTTACTTCTTGACATGCTGTCTAAGCATATGGGGCTTCTTTTATTAGGCCTACAGCCAAGGTTCATTCTAAAAGCAAAGTACACACAAGATATGAAAACTGAAATTACATGTTAGCATGTACTTGCCATTATTCTGTTTAATTTACTAACTGTTCTGCAGTTTCTTTTTTTTTTTAAAAAAGGGGGTTTTACCTCCTAATGGCATCTCAAATTATGGGTCACTCAGTAAAGTGGTATAATATACCACATGTGGCCTGTGATTTGTGTGTGACACGTCAGATAGTCCAGTCCAAAGCTCAGTTCTGGCATCCTCTTTCTTAGTGACTCCTGATACACAAGGCAAGTACTTATTACACATGCACACAGTCTTCATGTGACCTGCAGGTCATGTTGGTTGTACTACCCAAACAAAAATCTTGAAGTCAAGTGACCAATTACAGCAGTAAGCTGAGATACAAGGTCCTTTATGGCCAAGAGATTGAACAGGAATGCATCCAGTACAAGATAGATCTAGCTTTTTTAGATCTTGCTGTAATTCTGCCCATAGGACGTATGCCTATGGAATCTTCTTGTCATGTCTGTGCCTTTGTCCCATCTCTCAGTAAGCTCCTATGCGAGAGCACAAAAGATAAGCTGGCCATAATGCTGTCACTAAAAGAGAAGCAAATACCTTCTCTGTCCGCTTCTCTCCAGCACTGACCAACTTCACCAAGAATCTTCCTCCTTCCCTGATCACAGAGTACAAACTCAGGTCTATGTGGCACGGTGCCCTTTTCTGTAGCTTTTACGTAAGTAGGCTGTAAACATTACTTAGTACTTGAAGTAAATTGTGAATTTAAGTCCTTTTTTCTGCTTGTGCACATGTTTTTTTATAAAATAAAAAATAAAAAACATCAAAAACCTTGGTGGGAAGGATGTAGAGCTCAAGGCTGAGAACTGGTCCTTTTGCTAGGTTACACAGATCAAGCTGCATTGATGTCAGTGGGGCTATAGCTTTCCACCTGCTGAGAGCCTGTTTATCAGATTAAAGATCTCCCTTTCGTGGTAGACTTTTGTGTTCTGCTCTTCTAAATCAGAATGAAGTTTTGACACAAAATGGTAGATCTCATCCAAATTCCCCAATGTGTAGTCTCACAGGGAAGTAAGCAGGCAGCCTGGCATAGTACAAAGTTACTGGCAGCTCTTGATTACCAATGGCCAAGCCCTGGGAGAAGTGCGTTTGGCAGGCCATGTGTGGAAATCTTATGCATATCTTCCTGTGCCTTGTATGTAGCTAGCACCTCTAGTTCAGTTCCTTTCTTGCAAATCGGAGACCTTGTGTTTCTCAAAGTCCGGGTATTTAGCAGTGTAAAATGCTAGTGAGCCACACCTGCTTTACAAATAGAAATGCACTCATCGACCCCTAACACATTGTGTGTGCTAATGGTGCAGGACGGTGTTCAGAGGCATTGTTCAGCACAGACGTGATGTTAAGCACGCAGCAGTAAGTTTGGTCAGTGGTCAGAAACAGCCGTAGTTAATTCTGTGCATTGTCCACCATGCACTGTTCTTGGAACAGAGCCCTTTTTATTACAAAATATTTCTGTTAGCTCATTCAAGAGAGCAGCAAGTGTATTCCCAAGTGGAACTGTTGTATAGCATTATTGAATTCTGTTGTAACATTGGAACCCCTTCCATTGTTCATGTTTAAATACTAGCCCAATTTGAGACCTAAGGTGTGTATCTATGATTCTATAAGCTCAATAGCTCAGACGTATGAGGAGAATGTGTAACCCTGATGACAAGCCCTTAATGTTCTCCTAGCTGTTCTGAGCATCTAGCACGTGGAAATGGCCTTCAGTGTAACATATTGACTTTTCACTTTAAACATGCAACAGTTCGAGAGGCCTTTTTAGATGTTGTTAGCTGCCACAAGATTCCTGAGCTCTCCATTTTGGAAGGAGGACTGAAATTATTTATTTGTCATGACTTCATCACAGGTATATACCTTTATGAGCTGATGGGAAAACACTCTAAGATGTCAATGGTATTTTTGTGACTGTATGAGGTAAGACTAAAGCCTTAATCTATATGAAACAGGGTAATGAACTTCTGCAAATCCTTGATATTATTTTTTCTTTGAATCAAACAATTGAAGAAAAGGAAAGGATTTGAGTAAATAGTTTGTTCACAGGAAAATGAGGTCTTGATGCAAGCAGAATATTTGTAAATACAGCAAACGGTTCTAAATAGAAAAAAAAAAAAAGATAATTATTTTCTTAGAAAAGTAAACTTTTGGATTTTTATTTTGAAATTACCAGAAATATAGTTCGCTTGCTAAAGAGATGAATTGCATACAAAATAAAAAATGTTATTCCACATCAGTGAGTTGGCCCAATTAAAATAGAAAAAAAAAAAATCAACTTTCAGAGCAACACAAAATGAGTTTAACGAATTAGGATAGGAAAACAGGCTCAGACTAGTGATAGTCTGATTTCTTTACTGTGATAGTATTTTAGTTGGGCTAACTTTTGCTCTAACTTTTTGCTCTTGGAGGGATGCCTTATTGGTTCTTTGCTGAAAAACTGAGCTCCTATATAAATATGGCATGCTGCCCCAGCCCTTCCACACAGAGTCCCTATTTCTCATGAAATTCAGATTGACATGGTTCCACCTTGGTTATTTCCTCTTTTATGCACTAGCATCATAGATGAAGTAAGCGCACCTTTGAGAACAATCTCCTCTACTGTTTGTTCAGGAAATAGCAAAGCACAGTTATACAGGTTCATAAGGAGAGTGGGGAAAGCATTCCGTAGTCCTTGGGCTGTGCTTCTTCAGTCATTAGTCTATTTATTTTTTTCTTTTCTCTGGGCTTGAACTGATTGAGCTATTTTACTGACTGCAAACCTAAAGGTGGTTTTGATATACTTGAAACTGAACTGGGAAATTGGAATTTGCCTCCCTGTTCCTGACAGAGAGGAAGGCAAGAATTTTTTACAGTGAGCCAAGATAGGGAAAAATGTTCTTCTCTGAGTCATATAATACTCAAACTAAATATTTAGGAGGTCCTACCAGTTAGTTTTCTTCGCTGCTGTTCCATTTTGCTCAGACTGGTCTGTTTTGTCCTTCTGGGAGTTTTTTTGTTTGTTTGTTTGTTTGTTTTTTTGGGGTGGCATTTTTGGTTTGGTTTGGTTTTTAAAGCTATAGGTTAATAAGAGGTTATACAAAAGAAACAAAGCATTTCTGTAGCTTGATAATGAAAAAATAATATCCTTTATTTTCAGTAGTCTGTGAAGAAAAACAGTGCTTGCAGTACCCATGTACATGTATTAATCTAGATTGTAAGGTAAATAATATGTTACATGGCCTCATTTCTTCAGAAAAGGCTTTCTTCTGAAAAGTCCAGAGTCTTTTTCATGTATTATTTTATAATGGGGAAAAAAGTGCTGAAAAGTCCTATCTCACTGTTACCCATTTCTTTAAGTGAACAGGCAGTTATTTCAAAAACCACTTGCAGTACGAGAATAGATATCTACTTAGCAGCAGTAGGAATGTTGAAATTCATGCAGCTTGCCTCTCATTGTCTCTTTTCATCTACAAATGCAAAATCTTTTAAAGAAGTGCTCGCTGATGAAATTTTCTGGATTTATTGTTGATAGGCACTGCACAGGCAGGTGAAAGCATAGCACAGGTTAAGGGTTGCTGCATTTGCAGCAGAGGTGCAGGTTTCCATACCTGCGTCAACAAAGACTTGCCTCCTGCACTGCCATGAATTCAAGAAAAGCAAAGTATGGGCTGCTCCCCTGGTGGCAAGAGAGTGGATGAAATCAGCTGGTACATTTATAGGGCTGTGGTTACTTATTGGGGCATTTGTCCAGTGTTTGTTGCTTGAAAAGTTTTGGGGATGGAGATGCTTACAGGATGTTCTTACAAAATGGAGTTCAGCTTTAGTTCAGCCTTCTCTCAAGCATGTTATTTCATTAAACTCCCCATAATATTTGATGTGTTGTATGGATAACAGGAATTGTTGCAGTGGGCAATTAGTTTTCCTTCTAAAATGTTAACTTCATCCTTTAAGGATGAAGTTTGATTCAACTGGTTTAACTTTAAATTAAACCAGTCTTACAGCTTGTCAAACAGAATTCTAGATTTTTTTGCTAAAAACAAAAATGAGATGTGGGTTGTAGGTTGTCCAATGCCTTTTCTTTCTTTCTTTTTTTTTTTTTTTTTCCTGAGGCATTCCTCATTCTTCCTCTGATCAATCACGATACTTCCTGTATTTCTATATTGCTTATCTTTAAGTTAAATACAGGTGTTAACTTATCTTCTCAGCATTCCTGTGAGGTAAATAATAAAATCAGATACAGAAAGCAATCAGTGTTTCCCAGGGCCAGGTCATGAGTCATCTGATGTGGCTGGGGCTGGACCGTGGGTGTTCCTGTCTTCCAGCACTGCATTCATTTCCCTCAGCCAGGCGTCCTTCCCACACCGAGGGGAGTAGCCAGTCGAGCACAACTTCAGCAAAGACAGTTGAACACAATAAGCTAGCCAAGACTGAAAAATAAAGATTTTTCCAAGGATGTTATAATACAGCTATTGAAGCTCCTCCAGTTAAGACTCTGGCAAAGGCTGTTTGCAGCAGGTCAGCAGGGCCGCAAATGGTGAAATGTCCCAGCCCTTGTCGTGACGGGCTTGGAGTCACGTTTTAGTCCTATGGATTTCTTTCTTTGTCTTTATTGGGTTTTCCCATTCAAATTTCCAAAATCTATGTTTGCCAAAAAAAAAAGTGGAAGTATGTTATGGGGGTGTGAGCCCTTCTCAGTGGTATGATTAGTAATAATTTTGACACAAAATTTCTGATTAAAATTATACATATGTTATCTTTAACTAAAACTATAGTTTTTATTAAAAGTATATGTGCAAATCCCCACGTGCACTCGCTTTTCAGCTGTAGCACCTTTTGGTTAACTTGTTTGTACCTCTACACTGTTTTATTTCCATGAATCAGGCACCTAAGCCTTACACTGCAAAGAAAAGGCATTTGAAAGGAAGCTCACCTTGCACTGATCATTGTTTAGTATCAAATGCTTCAGGGCTGCTTTTGCAGTTTTTTTCTGAACTGCAAAAGTATAAAATTCTGTTCTGAATTGTGAAAAATTTGTGGTGCAGCAGCTTCTCTCCATTAAGTGAAGGTGGAAGTCATGCAGGGGAAAGTCCAAGCTGAACTAAACAAAAGACTTTTACTGTGCTGATTTCAATGGCTTAACTTTCAGCCTCTGAAATCACAATGTGGGGAGGGAAGAAAGATTTGTCATTTTCCTTGCACGATAGGGTGTATTAACCGTAGATTACCACACCTGTTAAGTAAAGAATATCATTGTTCTTAGAAGTTCACAAGGGTGCTTCTACCTTGAAAATACTATGTAAATACAGCCTTCCTTAATCACTGTCCTCTTGAATATATTAAATATTTTCAAGTTTCTCCCTGAACACTGACACTGGCCTTAAAAACAGTAAAAACAAAATCTTCAACTCTATTGGTGTGGGTGTAAGCAAGGCAGTTAGCTCCTTAGTGCACAAAGATCAGATTAAATAATTTCTTAGTGCTTTATCATTCTTGCAATTGGCAAGCGTTCCCCAGAGGATGTCATTTCAGGTATTTTCCTTGAAATGACTATGAAAGGAAGCCAAGGTAATCCTAACTTAGATGTGGGACTGAATTGCCAGTTGTGAGTGAATGTAGATGCCTTTAGTTCACCTTTCAAAATTGGGGACTGGAGTCCATCTAAACTAGTGCCTTGCTGTGAGGTATCCCCTCTTGTATTCTATGCCTGGTTGCCCTTCCTCTGGCCCTTCAAGATACACATTCTTCTGTGGTCCATCAGGACTGGGCCTTGGTGAAGTGTGCTGATCAGCTTGTCTATCAGTGATGGCTCTTCAGCCTGAAAACGGGTGAAAATGCACCACAGCGTCCTGCAAGGAAGGTGGCAAGCAAGATGTCTCTGTAGGAAGTGTAACAGCATAGGCTCAAAACCTTGTTTTTTACTGTTGATAGTTTCCATGGAGCTAAGAAAACAAAATCAGAGAAAAAAGCCAGGCCAAGTCACTGCTGCCAGCTGTTGGTGTAAAATGGTATATATAAAGTGAGTAATCAGCTCGTTGCTCTATATTTGGTTATGGAAATATGAGAGCTTCAGTGCTTGAGACAGCAGCATGTGTTTTTTTTTCTGTGCTTCACATTTGCACCAAGACCAGTGAAGTCCTTTTGGGTCTCACTGGAAAGGGTGATATCAGTCGTTGTGATCAGCTGTCTGTGTGTGTGTCTTAGATGTGATGTCTGCTGCGTACTGGGACTCTGAAAAACCTGACAGCTTTTGCAGGCCCATCAAAGTTTAAATAGGTCTCAACCATGTGAGACCTGTAGTCATTTTAATTGACTCCACCTGTTTGCTGTTCAGATGCTTGGTTTATAAATGGATATGCTGGATCAGAGGACTCATTCATCTAGCACAGCATCCCAGTCTCTACTGTAGTGGAAAAAGCAAGATAAACATTAGGCTTCGGTAGCAGTGGCTAGCAGCAAGGATGCCAAATGGTGTTTCCCATGCCTTCTGGTGCACCTGTCAAAATTCTCCCTTTTGGACCTGTTCTGGGCGTGGCTTCTGGTCTCCACTCAGGTGAAAGCTGGAGCCAAGGGAGTAGGCTTCTTGCAGACTGGAGCGTGGTGGTCGCACCCTGCTCAGCAAAGCGAACCAAGAAGTAGCTGCCTGCACTAGATCTGCTGGTCTAGATTGCAAAGTAAGCCTTTAAGCACGTCATAAATTTGACCCACTTCATATACCAGAAGGCAGATGGGAAGAACAGGCATTCCAAAATAAAGACAAAGACGGGTTTTAATCTCGTTCTGTTCTGTAGCATTAGTTTTGTAGGAGTGTAATGGGCTCTAAAAAAATCTCTACAGGTGGACAATCCCAACCTCTTCTTTAAAACTGTCTCATCAAACTCCCAGTCCATGGAGTGTAGCATGACTTACATTGTCTCTGCAGTGGTCAGTGGAGGAAAGCAATTTCTCTGAGGCAGGATCTGAACAACCAGCTACATACCAAGTGCACTGAGTCAGTGCCAGTAAATTTGTAAGTGCTGAATCACAACTGAGCTCTTCAGAGATACTGCACTATAACACATGTGCCTCTTCAAACATGCAAGTTAGGCTCTCTTAATTACTCAGCACCTTCATCAAGTATAATTCAAGATTTTGTTTCATTCATTGCACCTGGGGCCATACCTTTGTTGCAAAAGAAATTCGTCCTTTTGCACTGCACTGGCTATCTCCAGTTAACATCTTCTAAGAACAAGGTGGCTTCCCTGAAGAGGCTGCTAATTGGAGCAGTTAGACCTATTCCCTCTTCTTTTACCAGCTGCATCAAGATATAAATTGCAAGTGCTTATGATTTCAGAATTTTTCAGCTTTAAAGTGCTGAAAAAACATACAAGTGTTCCTTGTACTAAGGCACAGACTTTTTATATTTAAATCTTTTCCTCCTCTGCTTTTCTGCTGATCTTACAGCTGTACCACAATTTTATGCAAACTGATCTTTTTATTTGCTTTCATAAGAAATGTCTCAGCTGTAGAGAAAAACAAAAGTGAAAAATGTTGCAATTCTACACAAGATTGAAGCAGTTACTAATAATGTTAATTTTTCATGGTCGTCAGAAGAAAAATAGAACTGTCTGTTAAAAGCATTGAGAACTTTATAGTTTTGATGCCTCGAGTCCTTTTCAATTTGCAGATCCCTAAGACTTTTTCAGTGAACAAACCACTGAATAGCTAATGTAAGTCTGTGGCTGTGGCAATAGATGTGAGATTCGCCTCACTACTGTAGAAGCAATCTGCAGATCACCCTGAAAACTACTCCCATAACCTGTTCCAGCAGTAAATAAACCTGGATTTTTGAAAAGCAGTCAAAGGCCTGACAATACAGACCAGATCATAGAGAGATTTTTCAAATGCGAACAGAGGCGCCTCTGCATCTCCATGTGACTCAGTCTCTGGCTTGTGTCAGTGGGGAACTACACTCTGATGACAAAGCCACTGATAAATCCAGTATGTTTCAGCTGTTTGTGCTTTGTTGGTAGATGCACTTTTTTTTTTTTCTTTGCTGCTACATTTGCTGAGGGAGCATGATCTAAACCAAAAGCATGTAGAAGTGAAATCGAAGTGGCAAAATGTGTGTACCAGGCTTAACAACTGAAGTTAACTCTGAGTAAAACTTTGCCTTTTTTCATCCTCCTCCCAGGTGTTTGCTGAGCCCTCCATCAGTCTGTTTGCTCTGGAATGCTGCAAGGGCAGAGAGCTGCACTTCACCAAACCCATCAATTCCGTTTTGAATGAGGATCTTCATTTTTACACTCAGTCTGTATGGGTGAGAAGTGGATTGTGAGTATGGAAGAAATATTCTTAATATTGTAGGAGCTAATGCTGAGCATGTGTTTTCTCACAATTGCTGCCTTTTTTCATAGGATGCATTTTACATTCTGTTATTTTAAGACATTTCAAAATCCTAAAATGTTGTTGAATGCTAGATCCACCTTTTGAACCAAGAGCTGAAATGAATAAGAAATCTGGGCAGGGGATGCAGTTTTTCCTCTGCTAAGAACCATCCTTTTATCCCTATGCATAATGAACAATAGAGCCTGTTGTTCAAGCCAGGAGCCAAAAGTAAATCAGTTTTGAGTCCTGACTCACAAAGACAGGTAGAATAAACTCAGTCTGCCTTTATTAACTGGTTGTAAAATACCTGCTGTAAACTGAAGTGATTTAACATGAACCACTGCAGTGGTTCAGTGAAGCCTGACAAGCTGTTTAGCTGCCACAGTCAGTGACTTGTGAGAGAAGCTTGGGGCAGATGGGACAGCTGGAGCAGTAATTTGTTTCTGCTGTTAGTTTAACCCCCCCATGACTGATTAAACACCCAGCCTCTTCTGTGAAAACCATCAGTGCATCTGCGGAAGTGACCTTCCAACCTTTCCCTTCTCCTCTTTTCACCTTCTGGAGAAGCTCCCAAGTATTCTGCCTTGGCCAAGTTTCAGGCCTGCACTTCGACAGCAGGAACAAAGAACTTGCCGAGTCTTGCAACGGAGGCTGACTGGAAACTGCTGTTCTTCAAATGTGACACACTTCCTGCCTTCATTTTTAACCTTTTTCCCACTTCTCTCATGGCATTCACATACACAAAGCTGTAATTGTCTTCAGAGGTCTTATGGGATGACACAGAATCATGCCAAATTTGAACTAATTAAGAAAGGAATTCATGTAGACTGTTCACTGCTTACATACACCTCTGTTGTGATTCTTGCAATGAATTATGCAAACTCATTGAGTCTATTACCTCCTAGAAGTTAAAACCCGTCTATAGACTATGTGATAACACTGCTGCATGCTCCTCTGATTCTTAGAGGTTGGTGCAAAGCCTAAGCCTAACCTAGCTGATGCTCCAGAGCACTGCTTGTGGACTGTTTTTTTCTTTCAGACATTTCACACAAGCTTTTTCTTGAAACAGTTAGCTAAGAATTGAGCCTCCTTTTCTGTAACAACAGTCACCAGCTATTGACTGTAGCAGTAGGCCCATATCACTGTCACCACAGAGCTTTGCCAATTTACTCTGCATTCTAGTCCCTAGCTTCTATGCCGCTTCACGTTCTGAGCCCATTCAGAAATACATACATGTAGAGTGAGTAATATCTGCTGCTGTTGCCTTGTGTTGCCCCAGAAAGTGCTTACTATGGGGTAGTATCTCTTTGTGAGCTTTTTCTGCCATCTCATCAGGTGTGTGGCTGTAAAGGAAGGGTGAGGGCTTCAGGGCCACATAGTAGAAAAGCACGGCAGAGTAAGTGCAAGGTTCCAGCCCCTTCCCCACCTTCCTGCTTGTTTCTGAGCATCCCAGCTGGGTTAGCTGGTTCCTGTATCTGTGAAGAGTCAGGGCAGAATGAAAAGTTGCTTGGCTGGGCTTTCTCCGAGTTCCTCATGGCATTCCCCAGGAAACAGACCTCCACAGTCTGTCCTCATCCTACACTTGCAAATACATGTAGGTAGCTTAAAGACTGAGGGTGTGACAGGTGATTGTGGGAGACTTCCAGTCCTAGAGCGCTGGTTTGCCTTATCTGTAACCAAGAGTTCAGGAAGGCAGATTAAGAGGGTGTTTGGGTTCCTTGCCCTGAAGCCTACTGTCAACTTTAAACAAATGACAGAGTAAGATTTATGTCTGTGCGATGGCATCTTGCTGCTGTGCTGATCCTCGGGAAGGATCCTTCCTGAGCCAACTGACCACCTCAGTGAGAAATGGCACAAGCCTCAGCTGTGGTTTGCTGAAAAGGGCTGGGGACCGAGGTGCTCCAGGGTCTGAGAAAGATGGAATAGTAGGGGCTTGTTGGTCCATGCGAGAGCCCAGATAAGCTTTGTCAATGTCAGCAAATACCAGCACAACACGTGCTTTGGCAACAGAAACTGATTTCAAATGAGGCTGTTTAATATCCAGAGGAAAACATTAATTTTCATGAATTTTCAGTGACTTCTCAGAACGTATCACAAGAAAAAAGTTAGAAGCATGTTAGTTAGAAGTAGAAGGAACACCTAGTGGTTGTCAAGCTGCTCTGAATACCTGTTATTCAGGAGGTATGAGACTTAATTTGAAGAAACAGTGGTAAGGCCTCACTAAGGAGACCGATCACTGTTGGAATATTCCTCTATGGAGGCTCAGCCTCCTGAGCAAGGCTAGCTGGCTGCTCCTCCAAGTTATGCATGATGGGGAAAGTAAATTACAGGTGCTGTGAGCACTGTTTGTGGATGTTTTCTCACCTGACTTAAAACAAACAGAGTGCAGCCATCCCTCAAGTTCTTGGCAGCTGACCTGTAGAACAGGTAACTGGGGAAACCAGTGTTTGCTTTGTGTTCTGATGAGTTAATGAGTCAAACATTTAGGTTCACTGTCTGCACAACAATGTCCTATTGATTTAAACAAAACTGATCTATAATCCTGAGGCTGCCTTCGTAAGCAGCAACACAGTAACTACTGAGCAGATGTCTAGATAAAAGGGATCTGTATGTGCTGGCACTTTAACTCTGTTAAATGTTTTGGCCATGTTCACGTTCAGGTATGTTCACTAGAGTAGTCTGTTACAGCAATTTATGGGTTTTGGAGTAAATATTTTTATATGCATTTTTCTATTCCAGACAAGTGGATTTTTTTTTTATAGTTTTAGTTACTATAAAAGAAAACACTGGTCAAAATCATCTCGTAATTAATATATACAACCACGCAAAGCTGCTAGTACCTGCTGTCTGACGTGTGGCTTCCCAGTTTGTTAATGCATGCCATGCCCACTGCAACCTGTAGTAATCCCATCTAGGTTAGTGCAAAGATTCTCAAATTTGTGGGAAAAGCTTGGGGAAGAAAGGAGGAGCCTACAAGTTTGAGGTAGGCAAACAAGTCTTAATTTAGACAGAGAACAGCTAAACCACTAAAACAGATGCTATTCTGGGGCATGGTAATGCAGCTTTGCTGGTGTCCCTGCTGTGGGGAGGTCTGGGGACTTTCAAGAGCACAGTCCTGAACATAAGCCCACAGTTTAGTTTTGTTACAGTTAACATCTAGTCTTTCACGCTCTGTTTTCTGTATCCAGGTGGATTGCATATGAAGGATGCAATTTTTTAGGAAAGCAGATTCTGCTGGAGCCCAGTGAGATTTCCAACTGGAGTGAATACAGTGGCTGGACAGTCATCGGCTCCCTTCGTCCTATGAAGCAGGTACTGTAAGAGTGTATAAGGACTTGTGCACCTGGGCAGGGGCAATCCCAAGTACAAATACAAGCTGGGTGGAGAATGAGAGTAAGAGCAGCCCTGATGGAAGGACCTGGGGGTGTTGGTTGGTGAGAAGCTCAATGTGAGCTGGCAAGGTGCACTTGAAGCCCAGAAAGCCATCCCTGTCCTGGGCTGCATCAAAAGAAACCTGATCAGCAGGGCAAAGGAGGTGATTACACCCCTCTGCTCTGCTCTTGTGAGACCCCACCAGGAGCCCTGCATTCAGCTCTGGGGCCCCCAACATAAAGGGAATTGAATAATCGTTAAGGGACCCTTCCAACCCAAACCATGCTGTGATTCTGTGACTTTTTTTTGATGGGGGTTAGTGCAAAAGTATCGGTTGTACCACTGAGTATAATGCTGCACATCATATTCCTTAAATCAGGCCAAATGATGACAGCCAGAAGGACATACCAGAAGATTACTGTAGCAGAAAATTTCTCCACTGGCAGTTACTGAGATCTATATTAGGTTCCTAAAGGAAAATAATTCCTTGTTTCTTGGAGTCAAGTTTTGTTTTTCTGTACAGCTCATTAGCATGTTCTCTAGATTTGCTATTTTTACATTTTTGTAATATAAAAATATAAACATATAATGAGAAAACCAATTCTATATTGGCTTGTTTTATAATTAACGTTAATGGAAGCAAGAACAAGTTTGCTGTAGCCTAGATTTCCAAAAGAAGCAAAATTTATGCAGTCCCACCAGTGTTCTCCATCCTTACCTCACCCCAAGTAATGCCAATTTCTAATTCTGACCCTTCACCTTTCCGAGGGGTGTCAGGTAATCAGGGATACTGATGAACTCTAAAACAGCCAAAGCACGTGCTGCTGTTTGCCCAGCCACACATCGCTGTTAGGAGCACAGTGTCCTGGAAGACAGGGAAAGGGAGTGGAAGGGAATGTGAGCAGTAATTCCACAAAAGAGTTTTCAGTAGCTCTGCTGCTCACAGAACAGCTTGTCTCCACTTCATGTCAAATGCTGCTTAATTTTTAAATCACAGATTCAACTGGGGAGATGTTACAGTGAACAAACACGATCATCTTTCCTGTTAGTTATGCATTATATGCTTCCCCAATGGAAAAGGAAAGTAATTTTAACAAAAATGATTTGTTAGTCTAGAAGTTGACAGTTCCCTGGAATTCTTTGGAAGTGGTAACTATCAAAGGATCCCATTTTGGCTCTGTTTTTGCAAATAACAATAAAATAATGTATGCTGATCGTAAAAACAGAATTCTCTCTTCAGACACTAATCTGAAGAGCTTTTGTATTCAGTAGCATCCTTTTTTATATTGCAACGGTGAGTAATATTATAAGTAGGGCCTCAGGTATGTTGCTGGGGTTTTTGGCACTTGGAGTTTGTATGCTGCTTTTTGGTTTTGTTTTTATTTTAAATTCTGCAGACAAGACTTCCTTGAGTTTGTGCAGTCAGTTGGTCATGCTTGACACTTCCATGGGCATATGTTGGGGTTTGTTTTTCTTTTTCTTTTTCTTTTTCTTTTTTTTTTTTGTGTGTGGTATTTGGCATCTGGGTGGAGCTGCCATTTATAGCTCCCTTTCCTTTATTTGCTCTGAAATCTGTGAATAATGTGAATAATCTGTGAATGAAACCACAAATCCTGTAGTAGCCCTACACAATCTATTTTTTGAGTAAGCTGAGTAAAAGGAGATGCTAGTTGAGTACCCTCTTTTCTGTGTATGTTCAAAAGCAATGGTGAAACTTCTCAGCCATATATTCCAGTTAATGGTGTTGAAGTTGCTGGATATGTGACTCAGCAAGTTCTGTGTTCAGAGAGTAAAAAGCTTGTGGATTATACCCCATTTACTGGCCTTGGAGTGAATGAAATGTGAACTAAGGCTATTTGCATACCACAGGAATTAGTTGTATAGACAAAAATACACTAAAAAAAAATATTGCTGCTTACAGCTGTCTGTCTGCATGTGAAAAACATTTAGTGCTGCCTTACATGCACATTCGTTTCCACTGAAATATTTTACATAGTCATCTGGAACTGGGGAATCCAACGTGTACTTTAGAAAACTAATGTATGATGGAAGGGAGGCATTCTGGCATCAACCTTTTGAATCTGTGTGGTGTTAACTCTCTTCCTTCACACCATTTCAGCCAGCAGTGTACCTCAGAATCAAGAACAGAGCCCACGGTAAATACCTGACAGTTTCTGGAAGCCTAGCAGATATAAGAGCAACATCAGTGTGCGTGTCTCCATACAATGGCAAGAATACCCAGCTCTGGCACTACTGTCGTGGACTCTTCAAATCCAAGGTGAGTTTCCAGATTCTGGAAGTGGGTTGTAACACCTGGATTTCTAAAAGAAGCTAGCATTAACACTGGGATAGCTTTTGGCATCTCTTAGGCATGTTGAACCAAAACTTTTATAACCTGTATCTTCCTGCTGTGTATAGACAGATGTGCTCTGTCTGCTTTGGCAAATTAGACAACTTTTTATATCTGCCTAATGGCACTGATGTTCTTCTAAATAGGAATCTGTTGTTTTTGTTTTTGTTTTTTTTTGTCTAAAGTCACATTTAAGAACGTTTATTATCTCTAAATAGTTAAGAATTTCTCTGAAAATGAATAAACGAAGAAAGGCTGTGTTTTTGTATTAATGCTGCCCTTGATGGTCTGTTTTTAATATAAAAAAGCTGTTGACCTAACATAAGAAATAACTAAAGTAACAAAGACCACCTTCTGTGATTGAGCAACTAGTCAATTGCTGAATAATCTGTTCCTGGCTTACTCGCCAGGAACATTACCAACTATAGCATGATTACTATAATATTTTCAGTGCCTGAAAAAGAAATAAGTCAGACACAAAACTGAAGCTTTGTGGCCTGGATCTCATTTTTCTTTTTGCTTCTTAGGCTAACAATGCCTGTCTGGATGTCATTGGTGGCAGAGACGTGCCTGGAGCCAAAGTCGCACTCTGGGCAGAACATGGGAAGGAAAGGCAAAAGTGGAGACTCAACGAGGATGGAACCATTAGTTCATACCTCAGCGACCAACTGGTACTTGATATTAAAGGTATGTAAAAAACAAATGAAATCAACCCTCACATGTTCTAAATGCATTTAAGATTGTGGCCAGTTGCAGTATTCCAGCTCCTTTGTATTCCAGCTCCTAAGGTTAAATACTGTATCGTGTGTTGCTAGTTTTATGTTCAGTTGCTTGACAGTGGGACAAGTCATTATTGTTTGATCCCAGAGGTTTACTTTGATCAAATCAGTTATTCTACTTTAGGGAATTCAATAGCGCTGATAGCAAGAAATGGTGGTTACAGAAGACACAACAGTGGTGGAAAAACCACCACCACCGAACAGGTGTGCCTAAAGAGAAAAGTGCTTGCTCCTCATGTTTTCAGGCTGGTGAAAATTCTCATTGCTGATGTACAAGTCCTACTGACCCATCATGGTAGAACAGCCTCACTGGAGGCTGCCTGTTCCTCATGCACAACTCGTTCCAGCCCTGCTGCTGGTACTAAGGCTTTATCCCTAAGGAAAAGTGGTGGGACAGTGTCTGGTTATGAGGCTGGGGGCTCCATGGTGCTGCCTTCTCAGATGGAAGAACTAAGTGAATTAACTGATGGCCTAACACCCCTGCAGGGTTTACAGACCAAGGTAATGGTCTGTAAAACCCCACACCGAAGTTATCAACCTTTACAGTAAGTGTCCTGCTGGCCATTACAGATCTGACCTTTGCACCTCAAACTTACTGACAGTGAATTCTCAGCTCAGTGATGTTAAATACAGCATTTCTGGCTTCCAGAACTAAGGAGTTAAACCACCATTACTAACTGATAAATAGTGACTAGCAAGCAATTAGATGCAAAGTGAAATCCCAACTGGTAATACTGATAGCAATTCTTACAGTAAAGCTGTGCCACCTAGATTACTGCACAATGTTGAAGGCTCGAGCAGGGAGGTACCATTTGACTGCTTTTTAGAGCACAGATTTCTATTTATGGCATGGTAAAAATGCACTGTTATTTCTATGCTACGTGTATTTGAAGGAGAGAAATTTTAAAGACTTCCTAAATCTGGGGTTGAAATGGTCATTTTATGCCAAATATCCCATAGCTGTAATTCTGTGTATTTTCACTTTAGCAATATGGAAGTTAAAAATCCACTCACATAGTGGGATCTCAGGGTCTGCCAAAAGCAAAAACTTCTTTAGAGGTGCAGTTTCTTTGCACAAAGGAATATTGAGGACTCAAGTTTGTGGTGGACTCTGCTTAAACAGCAGAGTCCACCACTTAAGCCTCCTTAGGGCTTAAGTTGATAAATGATAGTTCGAAGGAGACGAACAGCGATGGAAAGGCAGACAGTAGCCTGTCCCTCACAGAATGTCTTTCAGCTACTTCTCAGTCACGTTTTTAAAGATTCTATTGAGACTTTTAAAGATTCTATTGAGACTTTTCTGAGCTTTTCTTTTTTAATGGTTTGCCTTTATGAATTTGTTTTGTTTTTAAGGAGGAAATTATTATGACAAGAATCACATCATTATGAATCAGCCAGTAGAGGACAAACATTCACAAAAATGGGACATTGAAATATTGTGAGTAAAACCCACCACACATATGGACCTTATGTTGTTTCTTAACATCTGGAGGAAAAAACCTACTACTGAAGTCATGCACCACTGGAACCTTATGCAGCAAATCCTCTCTGCTTTCCTTTGTGCAAAGCATCCAGCTCCTTAAACCAACTGGATTTTGCTCAAATCTGGAGGATGTGAGGGTGAGCTAAATAATGTCTTTCCACCGGGACTGTACTCTGAGCTGATTCTTTTAGAGGCCTCTCCTATGAAAGTCGCTGTTACTCTTCATCTAAAGAATTAAAGTAAATGCAGAAGGCTAGACAGAAGTTTTGCAGGATATGAACTGCAAGAGATAATATGGAAAAGGCTCTTTAGAAACGTTGTCTTTTCCTGTCTCTCAAAAACTGATGAAAGCTCACTGAAGTATGACTGCACTATCGAGCTTGATAGAGGTTGAGTTGGATTTTTATGTCCCAAGGGAAACAGTTCAGGCTCTAAGCAATCCTGAACCTCAAATCATATCTCTTGCTAAAGTGCAATTTATTTTGTTCATAAAGACAACTTTGAACTGGAATTCCCAGCTCAGTATATGAAATGGGGCAATAATGAGTCTGACTGTTACCTTCCTAATGTTACTGGTAGGCCTTTGTCTTCATTTGTTTTAGCAAGACCAACTTTCCATATTTAAGAACTTGTTTTGCAGATCCATGGGCTGTGTCCAACCCTGTGAAATTGCAGTAATCCCTGAAGATCACTTTTAAACGTAGGCATAGATGCATATATCAAGAGAATCAGCTATCTTGGGTCAGGACTAGATTTCTACAAGGGCTTACTGAATTTAGAACAGTGATGATTTTACTCTAGCTTGTTTTCATGCATATAGACTAATTTAATACAATGTAATTAGTTCCTGAAGCCATGTCTTCCTTCAGAAGGTAACTCACTAAGTGCTAGCAGCCTGCATTCCAACTTGCTTGATGTCAAAAGAACAGTGTAACAACTATTTTAAGGTTCCTCTGGCTCATCAAAGGAGCAGGAATTAGACTAATGAAGACCAGTCCAGCATGCTTGCAGATTCTTCAGTTTCAGCAATATGCAGCCATCCCACCTGCTGTCACTTAAGGTAGGGAGAAAAAAATACTGTACTGCAGTTGTTGCAGGCTTGTAATAAGCATGTTCCTCACTCAACATGGACAAATACATAAGGAACTGCAGACACTTGTAGGGCTGTTAACACCTCAAGTGGAATAGAAGTCCCTTAGTTCACTGGTATCTTCATTTTGCATGTCACTAAATTAATCTACTTCATTGAATATGTAATTTTTTTTCCTTATTTGTATATTCAGGGTATGTATTTCTATAACTATTTAAAGAGTTTAGATTAGTGAAAAACAAAGCTATTTTAGTTTCCAAAAGCTGTAACTATTCCAGTGCACCCAAACAGGATTCATCCTTAAGCAAGTAAAAACCCATGACCCTATTTGCCACAGAAGTAAAATATATGGATGTCTATTTTTGTATGAAATGGAATTCTATACAGTACTATTTAAAAAAAAAGTCTACTTGCACTTAACTTACTATTTTACATTCTAAAATTATCATAAATCTGCTGTTTAAATAACAGATTTCCAAATGTATGTATATATTTTTACAACTAAAGCACTTGTTTTGCTTTTTTTAATATAAGTCAGTATATCATGTTCTACACGTGATTTGCTTTCTATATGCAATTTTAAAGCCTGTGTAAAAAGTTCTAGTCTTTTAAATCAAGAACAACTAAATCATATTTGGTGTGCCAGTGTTACATAACCAAGTGAAGAAGGCTTTTGTACTTAAGAGATCTTGAATGTAAAATGCTAAGCATGTATATTTGAATTGTATAAAACTTTTTAGGAGGAATCTTTTGCCTGTTGGTTTCTTTTTAAACAAACTTATCAAACACAATAATAGTTTTTAATAGATATCAAGCATATTCCTGTCAAGTATTTTCTTTCAACTGGCCAAAAAAACAGAACTAAGTAAGTATATTCAATAAGTGACTGCCATTATATTGGTTTGCTTACTAAATGTAGGTTTTAAAGTATTAAGGTAATTGCAATACTGCCACCGGAACCCACTCAGGCGAGTGTTGGAGATACAAATGCCAGGTACCGGTTTGGTTTACTTTCAGATTAAGAAGGCACAGGTTAAATATTAAACATTTGTTTATTCGAGAGGTGACAGCATCTAAGCAGTAGGGCTTAGCATCTTTAAAAAAATCAACAGCATGGGAAAAGTAAATTGAGCTGTTTACAGCTGTGACAAAGGGATTTTTCATAGAATATCCCTGAGGAACTAGAGTACTTAAAATTGGACTTCATTATCTAAGAAGTGTAAGACATCAATAATTTTGGTGGAGATACTGAATTTTTTTTAAGGGTATTAACAGTCTGGCAATTAAAGGTAACATGAACCGTTCCACTATTAACATTTCTGAGCAGCTTACCTGTTGTCCCCGATGACCATTTTCCCAAAGCACTAAGGAAACTAAAAGAACATTCAGCATCAGAAAGTAGCAAAGCCTGTATGTATGTGCATACACACATACATTGCAGTGTGTTGTTAGACGGCACTACAAACCAAGGGCTGGATGGAAAGAAAAGAAACTGAATACACCTTTCTTTAAGAGCTTCTTAATGGCCAGAAATACTGCTTCCAGGAGGAGCTAGTTTACAAAAGCATTAAAAAACTTCAATTAGACATTCAGTCCATAGTGACAAGGCAAGGTTTTCTTTCTCTGCATCAGAGGTAAGGTTAAGCTCTTTAACATAAACAGTACTGCCACTCCAAATCTGCTTCAGTGCATCGAAGTATGACAAAGGAAAACGCAGTCCATGAGTCTGCTGGGAGGAAAAAAAAAGGAAAAGAAAAACCACTTCAGTTAAGTACAACATGGCCATTATTACACAATGTTTAAGACATAGGTACTGATCAGCAGGTGCTCCTTTCCCACTTCACACTGGGATTTCTGAGCACATCCTGCATAAGATTAGTATCATCCTGCCAATTTTATTAAGAGAAAGACAGCTGAAATCTCTTCTTACATGGAAGCTGTGGTTACCTGTGCTAGCACCTCTTACTGATGTAGAGAGACGTAAGGTACATGTCTTCCCCTTCTGGCTTCTGAACTGAAATATACACTCTTGCCTAACCCTATGCATTATTTTTAGAAGAGGACCTAAGTTTCTTTCTTTCTCTCTGTTACACACAATCTTTAGAAATAGTTTGACAGAACGGTAGAAGACCCATCTTCCCATGGCTGGAGACCTTAAAGGCAAAAAGCTATATTCTAAGACTTACATATAGTGTGCAGCTGCCGGTATAAGTTACCAGTTTTCTCTAGATGTTCAGCAAAATTTACCTTAAAAAGTAAGTAACTGACAGGCAAAAAGCCTTGCTACAGCTACTTAGACAAGAGTTTTGCCTCTAAGGTATATTTGTGGAAACCTATATCCAAGGTTCAGGTTACAAGCCTGATGTAATAGCATCTCACTATCATAAATTGGAACAAAAAGATGCAAAGCTTGCAGCCATTCTTCAGAAATATTGTATATAGCCTTTGTAAGCATGAAGGAGAACCACCTGCAGCCTTATTAATAACAGAAGTTCCCTCTTTACATTTCAGGAGAAGATTTAACTCATTACTCCTGATGCTGACCCACCTTCCCACACTGCCCTAAAATGGGCACACTTACCTTGCACTACATAACAGGGCATAGGGAGGCTAACATCATTTCAAACTGACATAAACACACTGTCCCCCACAGTGACCCCCTGCCACTACAGAACACGTGCTAGCATATCGCTACTTTACCTAGGACATAACTGAAGGCATGCAAAAGAAATCTGCAGCAAAACCCAACAGGACACCACAGTGGGTGCACGTGTGCCCATATTAAAAAAATGAAGTAAAAATGAAGTGGGGAACAAACCTGTGACATGCCTTCCTCAGTGGTAGCATCATCATCTTCTGTCCCCATCATGTGAGTTTCTCTCCTGTTCTTTAAAGAATGGTACACATACACCATCTCTCTGCGAACTTCATCCTATGAGACAGCAGGAAGAAAATAATTACGTATCCTCAAATTCATCACACTCAAGTGACAGTATTATCTTCTTAATTCTGGAGTCCACTCTAGTATCAAGAAAAGGAATTCACTTTCCTAACAGAATGATCCAACAGCAAGCTATGACAGAAATAAGGGAGTCTACAAAACATTTATGGAAAAGTTTAAAGCCTTTTCTCTTCTGCCTTAATAATGCCTCTGCTGGACTCACATGCCATTTAAGGTGCACCTCCTAGAAGGTCTTAATGGAGGAGTTCATATCGCTAGGTTTCCATCATACTAGTCTGTCTCTTAAAAATCACGTCTAGCATTCCTTGGTTAAAGTTGTGCAAGCCAATTCAGTGCTCTGTGGGCAAAACTCACTGAGAATTTGAGGACACAAGTCTTCTCCATGTGATCTCATTCAGATTTATCTGTATGACATCAAAAGGAGTTGCATCAACAATTGCAAAATAGAGCTTCTAAAACCCACATATTCTCACAGTAACGCAGACACAAACAACATGGGGGAAGAAAATCAGAAGAAGTTATGCTATGTTTTTTTTCTCACAGGGAAACATTTTACTCGTAAAAAAAATTGTACAAGATGTCCTAAGTTTGTTTTTTTTGTTTGTTTGTTTGTTGTTTTTCAATTAAGACCAATATAAAGTAATTCTGTAGAAGTCTGAAGTCTAAAATTCTGGAGCAGTCAGACAGTTTTCTCCAATAACATTTTCAAATTCATATCACAAACCTTCATAGCTAAGAAGCAGACTGGACACAACATAATCCAAGATACCAGCAGCTATTTTATGGAACAGTTTTGTTTTCACCAGCACCAGCTTAGAGACAAAGATAACTCAGAGGTGAAGACTAAGCACATATACAGCCTGTAGCAGCTGTGGCAGAATTCCCCCTTCTAAGGAATCCTATTTGTGCTCTTGAACACAAAGAATAAAATAAATAATTTAAAAAATCTGTTATCAAGAGCTGTACAGACCATTTAGTAGAGGTAGTGATCCATCCCATCTAACCTCAGATGAAGATCATGCACCTGCCATGCAGAATCACGGGATAAATTTAGTTCTGTAGATCTCCTCCAGAAGGCAAGAACATGCCGTATTACTGCTTGACAGCAACCCCACAATCTCCTACCAAATCCTAATAGGATGCATTGTCCAGCTAAGCAATAATTGCAGGACCCTTTCAGACAGGTCAGTACAACAGTGCAATACCTTTCACACTCAGCAACACCCCCACACACCCGAAGTGCAGAGGGGTGCCTTCCTTATACTTACAGAATTCTCTTGATCGGGCTCCACTGTAATTATAGCATGATCCCTAAACTGCAGTCTGATTTGGCTATCTAATTTGGGCAACTTCCCACCTAAGAAAAAAAAAAATCTTCATTAGAAAGGATGGAAACCATATAAATGGTGCAAATTGGCCCTACTCTCCTAGCCGTCTTCTTGTGGCTACATTTCCTGCTAAGCTATGTTTCAACATCTGTCTCAAACATGAAGCTCATGCTAGACTCCAATCTTTGCCTACCATAATACACAAAAAATCATAAAAGGCAGAGTTAGCAACAGCTCTACCACAACATCAACAAAGGGAATAAAGATGTGGTAAACCTCAAAACCTACCTGGAGTTAAAGGATCAGAATCGCATCCCAAGTAAGGTGGCAAACGGTTCATAATGAAATCCTTCTTCATGTCAGATGATCTCAGCTCTCTGGTGTTTTCCAGGCGGTCTGCAAGCATTCTCAAAATGCTGCTCAGTTTTTTTGTTGAGTCTGCTATATCCACCTGCTGAATATTCACACAGAGTTGATCTCACATGAATTTAAGATCAACAGAGTTTAGCTTAAATAGCTTCTCCTAAGAGAAGGAGGTGCAGTGATGATCTGGACAGTTCTTTATCTTTTGAAAGGGTAACAACATTTACTCCCAGAACAACAAATGTTTATTTTACACCTTCCACGTGAGCTGAGCTGTTCACACACATAAGCTGATGCTCAGTTTTCCTCACCATGAGACTAACTGCAATGCTAAACAGCTTGCAAGTGTACCTGAAAGAGAGATTTGTTCTCTCTTTCACAACTAGACAACCATAAAAAGGGCACAGAACAATTTACAGCTCCACTAACTTTTTAAAGAGTCAAAAGTTTGACCTGATGGAAACTACACCCATCTGACAGCTCCAAAGCAAATAATGTTGCTTTGAGAAGGAAAGCGAGCCATACAAGGACACTGTGATATTAACCAATACGCATTGCTTCTGCTGCACCAAACCTCAGGACACTCATCCTGAAGTCTTCAAAAGTGGTTTTGCTGCAAGACAAGACAGTACCATTGCACTGCTCTCACAGCAGATCAGTAAGATACACACTTTCTTCAGTACTAAAGTTTCAGCTAGATGCACTATTTTTCCCTGAGTCCCACCTATTTACCATGAGCAGTTGCCTTGGTATGCTTGTCCGCAGAGCCACATCTTCTTTTGCAGTATCAAACACAAGGCCAGGAATTGCATCCAGTAAGAAGTCTCCCCAAGAGCTGTAGAACAGGAGGGAAAAAAAAATTACTAAAATAGCTGCACTGAAATAAAAGAGGCATGCTTTCTCCTACCTATGTCTGGTGCCATTACTATCTGAGAAAGTATGACTTATTATAGTCTCGTTTAAGGGAGTTTTTATTATTTATTTATTTTTAAATAGATCTTCTCCACTCAAGCATTCCACTGTTGGCTACACACTGAGAGGGAAGGATTTCTGGAGGCCACTCGCAGCCGATCAGTTTGGGTGTGCCATCACA